TTAAAAGTTCAATTAATTCTGTCTTAGAAAATATAGCATCTACCTGCTGAAAAGATGCATACTCTTGGTGTTGTAATGTGTATTTGGCCATTAAGTTGTGCTTAAGGGCTGTTTGTTTCATAATTTAAAGCATTTTATGATGCATGTTATGTAATGAGCTAAGAATCAGTCATATAATTTTCAGGTTAACTTTGAAAGTTGCTAACAAAAATCTGAAAACGGAATCGAGTTACAGTTACTGTATCAAGCTGAGTTTAATCAGCTCGGCCAGCTTCGTTTTCAGTATTGAGGAATGTCTATACTCAAATTTGTCCATCTCTAGAATTCTTAAATTACCAACGGACTAATTGCTTGATACTTCTTAGATTTCTAAAACAAGTTTATGTAACCATATAATGTAGACTTATGAATGATAGTAACTACTCTAACATCTCAATGTGGTACATGTACTCAATTGAGGTTTACTGAGTTCACAAAATCTCAGCTGGAAATCTAACGTTTCCCTGACTAAAAATGATGATTAGCCAAATAAGTTGATCCATTTGTATATGTGATATGTTTGTATCAATTGTATGTGTTATGATTCTTGAAAAAATATATGATACTTGTGGAGGTGCGGAAATTATTTTGGGCTAGGCTCTCTGACAATTGAGATTTGAGTTAAGTAATTATTTGCAAATGCATGTCATGTGCATGTGCAAATCATATGCATGTCATGTGCATATCCTGGGTATGTCATGTGTTTCTCTTGTGCTTATAGATTTGAGATTTGTGCACACCTTATGCAAGTCTTGTGCATGTCCTGCGTGTCCTGTGTGTCATGTGCTGCTGAATAAGCGGGATTTTATGCAAACATGCCAAAAGCATTGGATTTTGCAAAATCCTGCATTGAGTTTTTTCTCTGAGTGCGGTATTTTCTAACCTTATTTCCCAAACTATGATAATTTTAAACTTAAATCCCAAATAGGAGTGTTTTTTTGCCATGTAATCAAGCCGGAGGTGCCATGTCAGCAACACTCGGTTAACTCAATTTCCACATCAACTCACCAAGTCATACGCCTGTGTCATCCCATTGAAGTGCAAGTTGTATACCATGGGAGTGGCTCACCTTGAGCATCCTACTCTCATGGCTTTGTTTTTTATTTCAGAAGTAGGCTTGGTGTAACTCGTGTTTAAAGCAATGTAATTCACGTTGATAAGAAATGTAACTTGAATCAAATTGAAATGTAAGTTATCTAAAACAGAATATTAGAAGTAAATAAAGAAAAAAAGAGTCTAATTGACCAATTATTTTACATAAATAGTGTATATCATTAGTTTTTAATATCAAGGCCATTAAAAATGTTTTTTATTAAAAAATCATTTTTGTTTGAATAATAGGGATTTATTTTGTTGTGTAACTCACATTGTTTGTGGTGTAACTTGCATTATGCCAAATGTGAATCACGTGTAAGCACGATGTAACTTATGGAGAAATAAAAAGATGTAACTTCATGTATTATATATCAAATGTAACTCCCGTGTTAAATTTAACGGAATAATAATAATATCATCATTAATACACAAAACTGATCATTTTAATGTATAGCTTCGATGTGTACATCCTGGATTTTAAGGGTCAGGAAACTTCAAGAAATTGAAAAGCTTGATCTTTCTAAAAATTATTACCTCCGTCCCAAATTGATTTGCAAATTTGATTTTTCTTGGTCAAACAGTTTCATTTTATTCGTTTAATTAGGATGTCTATGTTTAATTATATTCTAATTTTGAGTTTACAACTTTGAATATATTTTAATGTAGTTTCTAGATATATAAATTTTAATTTTTAAAAATTGAATTAGTTATCGATGGGGAACATTGACTTTTATTATTGGTTAACAAAAAAATGTTGACTTTGCAAAACAATTTGGGACGGAGGGAGTAAAAAACAAAGCACATAACTTTTCTTGATCAGTGACTCGGTGGGAGCAAAGTTAGTTAACTGACATATATTTCAATTCACTGGAAATATTCATTCCCATCTTCGAAAGTTGGGACCGTGTGAAGTTTCGCCGTTTAAATCCCTGCAGCAGAAGCGGAGGGATAAAGGAGAAGGAACCGTATATGCTATAGCGGACGCCGGACGACGATCCCAGGAAGATAGCTTGGCGGAGAAGAAAAGATGATTTGGATTGTTTTTACTTAATGAAACAGCACCGTATTAAGATCGGCACACCATGTTCATGGTAGACCGATCCATAAATTGCTATTTAAGTGTGTTTCTCAAAATACTCCTTAAATAAAAACGGAAGCTTCTCTCGGGGAGTGATTCCTCAACCACACAGAATGAATGAAGGCAACTTCTAAGTTCTAACCAGAGGCGAACCAATGGACACTACTACTTATTGATGTTAAATGTTACGAAATATCTTCTAATTATATTTGAATAACATGTCCTCGTTTCTTTGAATATATACTTGGTGTCCCAAATAATTGACATATAATTAAAAACATATTTTGACATATTCAATTAATATAAAAAAGTAATTAAAATTTATCATAAAAAAACTTAATCTGCGATTATTTATAAAGACTGTAGAGTATATAGACCTGAACCACACGCCCTGCATACTCATGGATACACAAACAAGATAACACAGATGAACCCCATAAGATGAACATTAAAGTCATGGATCAAGAATGTTCACCTTAGTCAGGCCCCTCAGCTTGGTCACCTTGGCCTGTTCACCTCGGCCAGGTCACCTCTGTCTGGTCACCTCGGTAAAGACCTTCAATGAATAACTCTACTATGTACTTGGTACGATAAACATGTGTAATAAATAGCACATTAACGGGCCATATTGTAATCGGGCCTCCTAAACCCAAGACATGAGAGCCCGGTCCACTTTTCTCCTATGAGAGCCCTTTGGGGAGCCATGTAAAGGGTTCACAATTCATTGTATAGATCCACTTCTCTCTATAGCTCTCCCTTCTCTCTAAGACTATAGTCTATCAAAGACACATTTTTATTAATTAAAAAATAATTAAATAAAACTTAATTTTTAAAGACACATATTATGCATTATTTATTTATCATTTTCAAACGTAATATTAATAATTTTGGTAATAGAAAATTTATTTTTTCAAGAATTTTACTTATTTTTATTTTATTTTAGTCTTGAGTTATTTCAAATTATTTTTGGTTGCGTATCGCAAATTAAGTTTTTTATAATAAATTTTAATTATTCCCTCCGTCCCAATTTCATGGTTTGATTGTGGTTTACAAAGTTTAACCGACGATGAATCAAAGGATCCATGTCCCCACTCAAAGAAACAAGAAGGATATATTATAAGATAACATGTAACAATAGATGGTCGTAGTAGTCCAATGGTGTGCTCAGGGGCGGAGCCAAGGGGGTCAGGGTGGTCAGCCGACCCCGTAACTCATTACGAGTAAAAAGTTACGACTTCTGAAAAATCAGCATTATCTAAACGTAAAATCATCAAAATTTGATGCATAATATTGATGATTTTTCCAAATTTTAAAAATAACGTATAATTAACTCATTAATTACGTGACATGATTTAGAAACATAGAAAAGACTATCTATCTTATTGGTACGAGCGCCTATTTATCTAAACTAAAAATGAAACATCCAACTCGGATATTGTCTAAAAACGATTTGCCATTTTCATTTTGTACATAGTTGATTTTCGATCCCCCTGAGCCGTTTTTCTGGCTCCGCCCCTGGGTGTGCTTGGGGTGACGAGTTGCCTCTTTACTGCTTGGTCGATAGTTCTCAATCCGTGGTCACTGGTAAGAGTTCCCATTTTTTTTATGTAAGAAGTATTTTGAGAAACACAGTGAAATGGGATGGCATGGGCGTGTGACGTGGCACGTTAGTGATAAAGATAAAGGTAATAAAATGTGGGTTTTTTACAAGAATATTACTAAAATAAAACTTATTTACATAAATATGACTATTCATTACTACAACGTAGTGCTGTGGCAACTGAAGTTCAAAACTTGAACATGAATTACTATGATTTCATTACTACTCTAGTAATGAATCATATTTTTGTAAAATATCTTTATTTTGGTCATATTTATGTAATTATTTCATAAAATATTCAGTTGTAAGACTTACTTATTTTATGTGGATTAATAAAATATTGTACTCCGTAATAAATTGGTAAAAAAAGAAGTTAATTCAGTTGTAATTCAATTAGTTAAAGATAAAGATAAATAAAAAATAAAAAATAATTAGATGTAACTCGTGCATAACTAGATGTAACTCATGCATAAAAAATGCAACTCACGCACAAGAAGATGTAATTTCATATACTATAAAATTTAATTCCAGAAATTGTTTTGAAACATAATTCACACTGCACATGTGGAAATGTAAACCACACAAACGAAAATGTAACTTTTTTGAAATTTCTTCCGTAAACTCTCACTCATCTTTTTTGTACTACCTTTATTCCACTATGTTTGGGACAATTCGATTTACGATGATTGACTGACGATAAAGCAAACAGATTTATGTCCGCGCTCAAATTATTTTTAGAAAACAAATACTTCCTCCGTTCCCTTTTAATTGCAACGGTCAACATTTCACGTTTGCCAACGCGCAAGTTTGACTTATAATATCTTTCATTCCTTATTAGTAAAAAATTTTAAAAATTCATATTTTGAAAATTTAGAATGAGAAAAATTTAACAATATTTTTATAAAATTAAATTTATAACACATTAATTAATAAAATAGAGAACGGAGGTAGTACATATTCAGAAACTGCATTACAAAAATTTAAAAAGTCCAAAAAACCAGAATCAAATTTAATAAAATTTTGATATATAAAGTAAGAGATTAAGAATAATTTGTATTGATCAAGTGAATAGTGCGTGAACAATTTTAAACTTTCTTAACGTTACATATGTATACAGTATACGTGTATCGTGTATAAATGGGTGGATGCTTCCTGTGATAACCGTCCGTACAAATAGTTGCAAATGTACTCCAAGTTTAGAAACGAGCGCGAGAATGGACAGAATGTTTTCTGTGGAAGAAGATATAGCCGACGAGTTCTGGCCGCAGCCCCCGCCGCCATCGGATACGCAGCCCCACGCGTCGGAGCTCGGAACCGGGTCCCCTCATTCCTCCTCCTACGGGACGATGAACAGCTGGTCCTCTGAGTGGAATGTCCAGGGCTTTCTCCAGGATGGCTCCATCATTGATCAGAACATTCCTCAGGCGCTTCCGAATGACAATCTGACGACTTCTGGTGCAGCAGCTGCGGCGAAGGTAATAGAGACGAGTAATAATTATACAGATGCGGTGGCGTCTCTCATGCCGATACCTGCCTTGATTTAGCTTGTGCTGCCGTAGGTTTGACCAGTGTTTGTGTCAATGCTTTTCGAGTTTCCTCTCCTTTGGTGATTCCTTGTTTTCGATTTTTACAGCTGAATTGGTGTTTAATTTTTGAAAATGCCAATGCTAAAGAAGATTTTTCGAATTTTATCCATTGGTGCTTGTATTCTTGCCTCTCAGTAATTCCACTTTTCTGCTCTGTAATAAAGGGTCATCATAATGTACGTCCTACAGTCCTTTCACTTCTTTCCTTATGACTTAGTATTACGTGCTCCGCTTTCCACTTAGGTCGTTGTCAACTATGGTTATTTTTCCATCCTCTCTCACTTGGAGCAAGTGAAAGTGAACTGATGGAATAGTTGACTTTGGTAACGTTGTATGCTCATTTGCTATCTTATGTGCTAGGCAAATAACATCAGGCCTCAAATATCAGCTGCCATGCCGCCTTGCAAGGGTTCATTGGTCTCTAATTCATTTGAACAAGGATCACAGGTACCATCTAAAGGTTAGTATTTCTTTTCAAGATGATGTATGTGTTGAGTAGAGGTCCAGTAACATCCTTCCAGGCTACCACTGTTGTACAGGTCATTTGGCACATGCTGTATCTTGCATGGATTGATATTTTAATTGTTTCTCTTCTAATAAATGTTACACTTTCATCAATCCTTTGTATTCAACTATTCACATAAAGGTGTTCTGCATACAAAATTTGTGTATCTGCTCTGTGCTTTTCAAGAAGTAGCTATGTTTGCCACTTCTTGAAAAAGAGTTGTGCTGGAATTTGAGATAGTAGCAGATGTTGTTGGAGGGAATATAAAAGTTAAATAGTTAATTAGAAGCGAGGGATAAACTACTTAATATTTGCATTTGAATGGCACTAACTGACTAACTGCCCGAACTGCCCGCTATGCTTAGCACTGATCGATGAGGTGTGACTTATATAGCTTCATATAAATTTGAACATGTCTTAACTCTTAACTCTTAATTGAGTGGACCAATTGCTCACGTCTCATTCATGATGTGATTTTGTAAAGGAGCATTTCTAATATGTTGTGATTGTATGTGTGATTTTGTGAATGCAACTCTGCATATTTTTTCATTGTATCAAAACTTATTTTATTCAGCACTGCCGGCTTCATTACTGTATAGAATTTTCAGCATAAAAATAAATGAGGAATTTCTTTACTAAAATAGTTCCATATCTAGAATTCTTAAGTTACCAGCTGAGTAATTTTGTAACTCTGCTTAGATCTCCAACCATCTAATCTTCATTTAGAAAGGATATTAACTTCTCTAACATCTAAACTCGGTATGTATAGTAACTTAGGTTTACAGAGTTCGCAAGATCTCAGCTAGAAAATTAATGTTTTCCTTACTAAAAGAGTAAAAGGATGAGACAAATGCCACATTAAGTTAATCAAGATGTCATTATGCTAAAGAGACTGAAAGCACCACACATTATTTATAACATTTATACAACCTGGATAGTCACAATGTGTTCCTAGAGACCCCTTATGATTCATTGATTTAAAAGAGTCTTTTCCATTGTCATCATTTTCTATAAACTTACATGGTAAAAAATTTAAGACATAGATCTTCAGTGACCGAAAAGATAATAAAATGCCCCAAAACCAAATAAGGGTTATCGTGCTTCTTCGGGGTCCAAAAAGTCATATTCAAACTATGATGAGTAACTAATAAATTTTTTAATTATTTTTAATTTCATGGCTTATGGTTGATCTTTTTAGGGAGAGAGAAACACGTTGAGATAATCTTTTTATTAACTAACAAAAAGAAAAAGTGTGGTCGACTTTTCAGAGAGAGAAACATAATTTGAACAACATAATGCTTTCCTTAGAAAGGAAATAGGGATCATTTTAGTATAGTACAAAAAGAAAAGTGTGGATAATTTAGGAATAGAGGCAGTATAACAATTTTTAACTGCAGACGTGCATTATTGATTTATAGTATTGCAAGCGTTAGAAATGCATCAACTCATTTGTAAATTTTCTTCATTATTTATTTTCACTATATAGGATCTGTACATAATTTGCCAATGGTGCAAGAGGAGGCTAGATTACCACCTGGTATACCATCCTTGCCTGCAATGCAGAAGAAATCTGCTACACAGGCTTGCTCAACAATTAGTGGGTCAGAGCAGTCAGATGATGATGAAGCAGAGGGAGAAGGCGAAGCTGAAACAACTCAGCACGGGGACCTAGCAGATGTGAAACGTGTAAGGAGGTCAGTACTTTCACAGTATTTATAGTTTTCATATTACCTGATTAATATACTAGAAACACAGGAACTGGTAGAGCTGTAGAATCATATGTGGCTGTTTGCATTTTCCATTCATGTTACTGAAGATATGTAGTACTGGCTAAAAGGATCATGTTACTAAAATTCTGAACCTGCATCGTTGTTGTTGCTCTTTCATTTTCACCAATGGAATTTCGGTTTTATGCAAAAGAATCCTTTTGCATTATTGATTTGCACAGTATAAGATGTCTTGGATTTTCATTAATTAACGAACTTTTAACATGCAACCATAAATATTTGGACAATTTTATTCACTAAATGATGAATCATGAATGTGGTAATCAGGCACTGTAAATTTTGTATCCCATATAACTCTGAATTGTTTGTGCTCTTTCTAGAATGAGATCTAACAGAGAATCAGCTAGACGTGCCAGGAGTAGAAAGCAGGCCCATCTGACAGAACTGGATACACGGGTATCTTTCTTAACCCACCTGTATATATTGCAAGGTTCAAGTGAGAACCTTTCTCGTGATAAGCACCACTTCTTACATGAGCACCTCTAATATTCCCATAACGTTAATCTATTTTTGTGATTGAAAAGGAGTCGTTTTTGTAAAATATATCATAGATGCTTAGGAAATCGTTATGCTAATTAAAAAAAAACCACCTTATCAATTAAAACCATCATTTGAAGCATAGTAGTCAATGGCGAGATACGCCATCGCCATGAAAAAGTGGTCGTCGCCATAGCGCCATATGCGCCATCGCCATGCGCCATGAAAAAATGCCTTTCTGCCATGGCGATCGCCATGCGCCATGTCAAGCTTGATTTGAAATCATGCACGTTTGAGATTGGAATTTGGAAGTGCTCATTTAATAAGTGGTGCTCACCAGAAGGATGCACGCATACCTTATTGTCCCTGTCAAGTCTTTAGTGATTTCCTTATCACGTCCATCTCATGGTTTACTCTAGGTTTCTCAGTTGAAAATTAAAAAAACATCTTTGGAGGATCGTTTGACAGATGTGAGATGTAAATACAATGAGGGTTTGATTGACAACAGAGTCTTGAAAGCAGATGTTGAGACACTAAGATCAAAGGTAGCAAATGTTAGAATTTAAATTGAAGTGATTTTTTAGATGTGGCATTACTTACCCCCACCCCCACCCCCCCTCCGGCAACACTACTGTTTGCAGGTTAAGATGGCAGAGCAAAGAGTTAGAAGACTAACAGGTTTGGATCCTCTATATCAAGCAACATCTGACATGTCCAGAGTCAGCATGCAATCCTTTGTTGGCAGTCGTGCTGCACCATCAATTGATGCTTGTGCCGCTCTACTGATGGGTAATGATTCCAGCCATATCTTTTATCAGAGCCCATCAAATGCTCTCACCCAGCCCCTTGATCATCCAAGTCCAGAACAGCTTGGTAGGAATTCTGAAAATAGATAACTCAGAGTCATGACAACACCCCGGCAACTGCAGCATCAATGCAGCAGGTGGCTAGCTTGGATCACGTGCAGAATCAATGTCCTGGATAAGTAGGGGTGTTTGTGGAAATCGGCATGCACAGTGAATGATGTTGAATTCATTTTTAAAAAGTTCAATTAATTAGGTGTTAGAAAAGATACATATTTTAGGTGTTGTACCGTCTGTATGCTTGAGAGAGAATTCCCTAAATAGGAGTAAAAATGTTTTGAAATTCCAAAACAGGAGTATCATGTTTTTTATTCTTTAAATAGAAGTTAAATTTCTGCCAAGTTTGACATTACAAGGCTTTAAACATGACATTTTTTTTCAAACTTGGCAGATTACTCCTATTCAAGAAATAAAAAATATGATACTCTTATTTTGGATTTTCAAAACGTTTTTACTCCTATCTAGGACAATTTCTGCTGAGAGGATTCCCAACCTAGGAGCAAAACATAGAAATATGCCAAAATAGGAGTCCTATGCCTTAGCTAATTTTTACATGGAAATTAATAGTAACTAACCATAATGCCCTTAATGAAACAAAGCTGGAGATTTCCATTTTCAAAAACACACTGTTCTACAAACGTGATGCTTTAAAAATGCTTCAAAAACACACTTTTCAACACACTTTTCAACCCGTCTAAGGGTTGGTTTGCAAATGCTTTAAAAAAGCACTTCTCAGCTTTTAGCTTAAAAAACACTTATTTTACCAAACACTATCAACTTTTATTTTTCTCAGCTTTCGTGTCAAAAGTGCTTTTACCTTTTCTATTACACAAAAAACACTTATTTTACCAAATACTACCAACTTTTATTTTTCAAAATCAATTTTCTCAAACACTGTCAACTTTTCTTTAATCACTTCTCCCCATTTCATTAAAAAAGCATTTGTTAAAAGCAGAAGCTGTTGCAAACAGACCCAAGCAGCCAGCAGAAAATTTTAAAACATAAAAACGACAAATATTCTTTCATTTGCGGACAATTTCAACTCTTTCAAAGCGCGAACATGGAGAACATAAACAAAATTGCATAACACTTAGGGAGAATTGAATTTGTCTTTTTATATCTAAAACCATATACCTTGAGTAGACCTGGACTCGGGCCGGTTCGGGCCCGGTTCGGGCCTGGGCCCGGCCGGGCCTCGGGCCAGGAAATGGGAGGCCCGGGCCCGAACCGCCGGTGGCCGGTTCCGGTCCCGGTTCCGGGCCAAACCGGGCCGAACCGGCCCACTTAATTTTTTTTTGTTCTCCTATTTAATCCCCTACCCCTCCCCCTCAACCCCAAACCACCTCAAATGGCCCAAAATACCTATTCCAACCCAAAACTTTAAAAAAATTTCAAAAAAAAAAAAAATTAAAATCCGGCCCGGACCGGGCCCGAATCGGCCGGGCCGGTTCACCATTTGGAAGGCCCGGGCCCGGAATCGGGAACCACCGGGCCGGTTCGACCCGAACCGCCGGTGGACCGGGCCACCGGGCCGGGCCGGTTGCTACAATGGCCGGGCCGGGCCGGTTCCGGGTCGGGCCGCCCGGCCCGAGTCCAGGCCTAACCTTGAGGAACAACAGAAGAAAGAAGGATGAATTTTGTGAGAACTAGAAATCATGTCAAGCAAATGTAAACTGATTTTGTGATGCCAATCAAGTATAATTTTATCTATTTTTAACTTGCTGAAACGGGAACTCGCTAAAAATGCCTATTTTAGTTATTTTTGTACTAATATATACTCCGTATTTTAAATTTTATTATAATCGTGAAAATTCCTATTTTAGCTATTTGTACTAATATATATTTTTAATTTTATTATAATCATATTTTGTTTTTTCAATTAAATAAATTCAATTAACTTAGTTATTTTAAATAAGATTTCATCAATTTTAACATATTTAGAGCCTGTTTCGTGACATATTTTTCGGCTTATAAGGATTATCAACCAATTTTTTTTATATAAAAATGTAACTTCACGCGATGAGTTATGTAATAAAAAGATAAGGTTTTAGATACTTTTTTCATTGTATTGACTGAAGTTATTCTAGAGATTCATTTTATTTATTTTTCATGTAATTTTCTCTTTACTTTATTAATATAATATGTTTTATAAATCACTCAATCCATTTCGCCAAAAAAAGCAGTCAATCCAGTTACTTAGTCAGAACTTCATAAATTTCAATATAATCCTTGCTAGTGACGTAGGTTTAAAAATATTTCCAAAAAAGTCAAAGTTAGCTTAGCTCATTTTATACTCCGTAGAATTTCAACTTTAAAGTTAAACAGATTAAAAAGTCAAAATACTTTATGTGAAACTCCAGAAGTTATGTCTGTTTTGGGTTTTGAAGAGGCTTTCCCTTCTGCGCTGCCTTAATTTTCCGTTTTTCTCTCTATCCATGTCTCGAAACCAAAATTCATTTGCTAATTATGGCTCTCTTCCCACCACCTCCACCGGAAAGCCCCCTCTTCCACCGCGAGCTTCAAATCCACCGACTCTCATTCCGCACCCTAGATCCGAGTTCGCCACGCGCCGCCCATGGCGCGTGTTCTTCGACTTCTCCTCCTTCTACCGCCCGTACAATTACGCCGAGGCAATGTCTCGCGTACGGCGCAACCTCGACTACTTCCGCGTGAACTACGCCATTGTTATTCTCTTCATCCTCTTCCTCAGCCTTGTGTTCCATCCGATCTCCATGATCGTCTTTCTAGTCATCTTCGTGGGTTGGATCTTCCTCTACTTTTATCGCGAAGGACCTATTTTGGTCTACGGAAGAGAGTTCGGTGACCGTCCCGTTTCGATCTTATTGGGATTGGTGACCATTATCGCCTTGGTATTTACTCATGTTTCAGTGAATGTGCTTGTGGCTTTGATCGTTGGGGTTCTTGTGGTTGGCCTTCACGCCGCGCTTAGAGGGATGGAGGACTTATTTTTGGATGAAAATGAGGCTGTTGAAGGCGGGCTGCTCTCAGTTGTGAGTGAAGAGCAAATCAGGCCTAGTCACAACTTTCCCGCAATCAGATAAAGGGGATTTTTGAAACTTCTGTGTTTGTCCATGATTTGTGTTCAAGGGTTGCCATGCTCGAAACTGACGGGGAGATCCCAATTTTTGAAGATTTGAACACAATTTCAAAAAGTTCTTTGTTTCCTTTTGATGCAGCTTCTCAACTTGTGGTGCTGGTTGGGAATTCACATTCTATTTGTGATGTTTTTATCCCCTGAAATGTTGGTGAGGTAGGCTCCGTCTGGTATGAAGCAATTTGAAGAGTAGGTTGTGTAGAACAAGTTGGGGAGAAAGGTGATGTTTTTTCCTCTTGTTGTCTTTATTTTACCAAATGGGTTTCTTGTTTCTTTTGTTCAGTTATGGTTTACCTCTAATTCCTTTTTGTTTATACTAAGAAGTAAGAACTAGTTGTACTCCTGTATAGTTTGCTTTAACTTGATTACAACTAAGTCTGCCTATTTTATTGCATTGCATGCTTCCTAGCTCTGGTATTGTCATTATATGTATTGTTCTCTTCTTAGTTCAACTTCAAATGGTGATTGGGATTGCGTTTGGAAACCTTGTTTTATTTATTCTTTTGACCCAACAAGTGCAAATAATGAAAGAAACGAGAATTTTGTGTCTTGATGAACTGCAGTTGGTTGAATCAAGTCAGCAAATGTTGATGCTAATAGATGGATTATATAAATTTAAATGTTATGGTGTTCAAGGATGGTTTTTCTTTAGCTTTTTACCAGTAGTTTTTTACATTATCCTTTTAGTGGAATCGATCAGTTCATTTAATTGATTTTTAAACCCTCTGATATAATTGCTTGTAAGAATTGTTTGCAAATGTCACTTGATGGTATGTTGAGCATACGTTGAAGATCTGAAAATAATGGAGTTGATCCGATTTGAATTCATGGGAAGTGTCTGTTTTGACTACCATGAGTTTCTGACTGTTTCAGATTTGAAATCTCTTTGGGTAACTAAGAGCCCGTTTGGTTTCTCTATTTTTCAACTTTTTAATCATATTTTAGCTATTTTTTCATATTATTTTTTCTTTATTTTATTAATAAAATATATTTTAAATACAGTTATTTCAGTCAAAACTTCATAAATTTCGGCAGAATCGACCGATTTCAGTGTTATCCAGCGGGCTGCTCTAAATATTCTGCTTTCTGGTTTATGATGTCTATGGATCATCTAAACCGATTCCCTCACAAACACACCAAAAGTACTTTTTCATTAAAGGAGTTTTTGCATTTGATTTTTCAGCTTTTAGCTTTAAAATAAGTTTAAAACAGTGTTTTTGACCGGGTGTTCCGGCTTTCCGCTTAGATTGAGCGCTTTAATATTACTCCATCCGTCCCTAAATGTTTTTCCAATTGCGGATTACGAAGGTTGGTCGACGATAAAGTTAAATGATCTCTGTGAAAATCGGATTATTTTTAATAAATAAAATTTACATATTCAGAAACTACATTAAACCCGCTACAAAGCCTGCAAAAAATAATTCAACTTTTATAAAATTTTGATATAAAAAGTAAGAGTTTAAGAATGATTTAAGTTGACCCTCGATAAGCGAAATGGAACTTCTCTTAGTAACATGGACATAGGAGAACATAAGGACATGGACATATACGTCTAGATTGCTAAATATGTTTTTTATATTAGTTGATGTAGACTTACATTAATGTAGAACACTTTAACGTGATACCGATTATTATACTTATATATGCAAAATATAATCAATGTACACTTAGAGATAACACATGCATGGAAAGAAAAATTGCTTTAATTTGAATAAATTGTTGACACAACGAAGTATTTTTTGTACGAATTTTGCATAAACCCATACATTAAGAAAAAGGCTTTCTTCTCGGGATATACATTTAAATAAGTAATTAAATATAGACTTGCATAGTTGCATTTACTTATTCAAATAACTAGTTGGAAAGTACTAACTAAAAAATGTAAATGCTAACCATTTTATAAATAAGTAAGAAGCAACTTCGCAGTGCATTTTTCATTTACCAATTTAACAACATTCAAGCCGTTATGTATAACCCCCAATTGAGTTATCAAATGAAGACTGTCTTTTAGATTTTGAGTACTATAGAGGTGAAGGACTTCGAAAACAGGGTATAAAATGGTTGTGCCTGATAATGTAGACGAGGTATCTTAGCTGAAGTGAAGGTGTATTATATACTTGATGATATATTTTCTTCATAAATAATTTCCCCGTTAGTTTAGTAACATATGTGAAGTAACAATCTTTTGGATAAATGTGTGCTTAGTAAACATATTTTATGTCTTAAAGTGTTGCTTAGTAAGCACCCCACCCCATATTTTATTAACGTGTTAAATTTTTCATATTGACAAGTATACCCCTCCTTGCATCTCGCATTGAAAGTCATCGGAGCACCCTACTCTTGCCCTATACCCTACCTCTTTGGCTACCCCTACCCTTGCCCTATCGTAGGGAAGAGGTGGGTGGGAGTGTTGTGAGTAGGGGTGGTGGTCGGGACTCGGGGTAGGAGTAGGATAAAGTCTTTCAAGGTTGTAATCAACATCTTAAAGTTAAATCATGTTATAATAAATGCATTGGTCTCGTGAAGTAAAGATACGCTTATTAAGCACCTTTTGGTGAACAACGCTCACTAGCCCGTAAAGTAAACATGTTCTTTACGGAGAAGGTGCAGTCACGAAGGAAGGCAAGAGGAAATACATAATCCCTCTGTCCCAAAAAGGTTGGCCAATTTGACTTTTCTTGGTCAACGGTTATCAACTTTGACCAATGATATCTTTTAATACAAAATTATTTGAAATATGAAAATTATATGAGCTTATTCTTTATCAAAAGATCTTTTCATAAAAGTATAAAGTTTATAAATCACACATAAATATAATACCTAAAATCATTGTCTAAAATTTAACACCATTGACCAAGAAAAGTCAAATTGGCCAATCTTTTTTGGACGGAGGTAGTAAATCAATTTGGTAGCAAGTTGCAAGTTTAAAAACAATTATTAACTATCACTCCATAAGAGATTAAAAGTGGAGGTGCACATGTTGTTTGCTGATTAGGACTTGGTGTCACAGAGATTTCTTCATCAGCGATTTAAAGTTTTGAGGGATTGATTTCTCTCAACTTCAACAAGAAGGCATGGGATGGAAGGTGAAGAAGTGAGTATGGTGCAGACCTTGATTAGAGGTCCTATTTCACCCACGAGAGTTGAGAGGTCGTGGTGCCATGACCAAGACGATATCGAACAATGGTTAGAGAGCAATGAGTTTGACAAGGCTAGAGTTCAGTCAATGATGGATGATCAATCACATCGGTATTGATGGTTTGGCCTCCTCTTAAAGCGCCACCATGGGTTGAACCAGATGTTTGGGTTCAAGAAATTTATCCTATTGGTTGTTATTATTTTGTTGTCTGGATTATTGTTAAAGTTTATGATGCTAGGTTTGTCAGAATGATTGACAATTTAGCATATTTTTATATTGTGGTTAACGATTTGTGTTGATCTTTCATATATATAATCGTATACTCCGTAGTTTATACCCATAGTTCGTGGATATTCATTGGTGTCAAGTATGATTTCTTTAATTGATGTAACGACCATGAAACTATTGATATACATATAAACGATTTCCTTTTTTTAAAAACACACATTTATTCTCATATTGAACAATGTTCCTATCTTTTAAATTTCGTAAATGTGATGTCTTTAAAACATACTTCCTCCATTCTTTTTTAGTTGTAACATTCATTTTTTCACGTTTGCCAACGCACAACTTTGACTGTCATTATATATAAAATTTTGTATTAGTAAAAAATAATTAAAAAACAGATCATGAAACTTTTTAATGAGACGAATCCAATAATATTTTTCAAAAAAATAATAATTCAGATACATTAATAAATAAAATGTAATCGAAGTAGAGTACATGAATAGTGTGTATTTTGCAATGTTGCACCTTATGCGATACGGAGGATAATACAACATATTGCAATGGTTGTCCTTGAAATTAATATTTTAATAAAACTATTGCAATATTACTAATGGTGTGAACTATTTTTTCAAATGTTACAAAAGTAAGGGGAAATATTTGGACATTTTATACAGAATTACACGAAGATACCGTAAAAAGATGGGGTTTGCTGCAATGTCTAAGGTAGAGTGAATAAGAAATAAAACTGCAATTTATTTTTAATATGTAATTTTGGTCGCCACACTTTTCTTTTTGAGAAATATTATTTTCTTAACTATGTTTTTCCTTCTGGCAAATTTTTATTTTAAAAATATTTAATTACTCATGCTTTTTTACTCTTCAAATTCTCTTTCATACTTTTTTTTTTTCATTTTTAAAACGATATTTTTTTGTAAAAGAGAAGAAATATCGAAAATCAATAATTCTTTAACTAAAAGAGAACGTGACAAAATGTTTAAGGAAATTATAAGTATTAAGCAGAATAGAATATCAAGGAGTAACTATTAAGGAGTACTAGGCAATTCATTATTAAAGGGTACATTTGTAAAAGAAAAATGCTTTGTGTACACATTTTGATGTAATCATTTTATACATACGTCTATCCCACGCACAAAAAATTGTCTCTCTATAGACAATTCTGTAGAATTTTGTGTGAACAAATAATTTTTGTATGCATTAGACAAACGATTGTATAAAAGATGTACACAAAAATATGCATACCTTAGGGCAACTCTTTACATTATTAAAAAATACTCCCTCCGTCCCTCTATTAAGTTCCTACTTTGACCTACACACATATTTAGGAAATAAATTTGACTTTACTGTTTAGACACTGTTTGGCACTGTTTAGACACTGTTTGGCACTGTTTAGACACTGTTTGGCACTGTTTTGCACTGTTTGACACTGTTTTGATATAGGATAACTTTCCATTTAGGGAAATGAGAAGATTATTTTGGGACGGCCCAAAAAGGAAAGTAGGAAGTTAATAGCGGGGCGGAGGGAATATAAGCATTATATATCAAGTAAATTTTCCTTCAAAACTGGCGTCAATTTCCTGTCAGTCATCTGAACAAAAATTGGCGCCTAATCGCCATTCATCCTTGCCGAAGATGCGAGGTCGTCCATTACAGAATCACTGGAACAACGAAGTTGGAGAGCCATAAGCTCCGCCGTATCGGAAATGGTTCTCCATCAAACCAATAACCTCTCGTCCCGTAAACGCCCCGCCAAATCCAACAATGGCTTCGTTCCCCCGTTCGCTCATCCTCCCAAAACCTCCAAAACCTCAACTGCCGCCCCAACCGCAGCCGCCACAGCCACGGTTTCGCAATCCACGCCACCGCTCAAAGGTCAAAGCATGTCTGCTTCTGATAAAATGGTTGCCGTTCTAGCCGATGCTGGTTGCACTTTGATCAACCCATCCGGCCCACCTTGCCTCCCGTCTGACCTCCCAAAGCTCCGCAACCGCCTTCACCACCTCTTCTCATCCGACTCCACGTTGCGTTCTGAGTTTCTTCATGGTCTTTGTTCTTATATGAGCTCCCCCAACAATCTCCGCCGGTCAGTTTGTCGCTCTCTCAGACCCCTCTACTCTTCCCATTCAATGGTTTGAAGATATTTTGTGCTCAAGTTAAAAAGATGATAAGTTGAATAGCTCTGAGAGTTACATCATCATTTGAAAATGTAGCAGAAGCTTGTAAATTGATTTAGCACCCCGTTCTTTAATTCTTTTGCCGCATTTCATAGCTATTGAATAATAGCCCTCTATATTTCTCAGAGGCTGCCATTAAATTGTAAAAAAACGCTGCTTATAGTGCAAGTGAAGCACAATATGGATTTCAGAATAACCCCTGTAGTATTTTTATCGAACTAAGAAATGAATGAGAAAGAATTACAATGCCCAAGAAAGTATGCAGCCCAATGGGGTTATGATTTCAGCATTTGAATGTTGTGGACAAAATTTGTTTGTTAAACACACATTTCTTTCTGTTTATTTATAATTAAAAAAGAAAAATATGTGGTTGGAAAATTCTCTTGACGAGTTATTTAATGATGCAAAATATTAAATTGCAGAGTCTTATCTCATTCATATCGTGATGGTTTGGGCTCAGTGAGAAGTGATAGTGTGGTTAGAGTACTGTTACTCGTTCCTTCTATTCAGTCAGACCTTCAAAACATGTTGATTGAGAAGCTTCCAGAATACTTTGATCTTGACGCTGGTGGAACAGGACACTCCTCCAGATTCGAAGATGACATTGCCAGGCTAATACTGAAACAGTTCCGGTGGCTTGACTTCCTTGTGGATTCTGATGCATTTATTGGTCAATTGTTACAAGTATTGTCAATTTGCCCCCATTACTTGAAGCGGGAAATAATTGGATCTTTGCCTGAGATTATAGGAGACCAAAACAACAAAACTGTGATAGATTCACTCCATCATATGCTTGAAGAGGATCCCTCTATTATTATTCCTGTGCTTGACTGTTTCTCTTATCTGCATTTGGATGAGACTATGAAAGAGCAGGTTCTTTCTTATATCTGATTATTATTATTATAAACACAGAAGCACCAGTTTTTGCGGTGATGTGTTTGCTTTGTGATCAAATTAGCTATATGTTGAATATTTTTTCCCCGGTATCATATGAAGGTTGTTACCATAGGATTGTCCTGCATTAGAACAGCTGATATGGAGAATATGCCATACCTTCTCAGATTCTTATTGCTCTCTGCCTCACCTGCGAATACCCGTCGAATAATATCACATATTCGGGAGCAGTTAAAGTTTATTGGCTGTCAAGCAACACAGCAGAATAAAATGAAAGGGAAGTCTATTTTAAAAAATGGGGATGCTTCAATTCTTGATGCTTTGAGATCAAGTCTTCAATCTAATAAAGTCAGTTCAACTCTTCACTACACTGATTTAATCATTTCCGACCCAATATAATAGTCTTGGAGATCTAAATTTTCAAAAAATAAATTTTATGTATGTGACATGGCATTGGCAGATAATATGTCAGGAAACACTTAAAGAACTGAAAAGCCTCGAGAAAGCCCGGGATCATAAAGCCATTGATATGTGGCTCCTTGTTTTAATTTACATGAGTAGTGAGTCTTTGCAAAAGAGTACTGAGAAGTTACTGAAGAAGAAAGTTGTCGAAGGGTTTATTGAAAAAGTGTTATTTGATCAATGTGTTCGTGGGAATAAGGCTGTAGCACAGGTATAAGTGGATAATTAACTTAGTGCTTTTTGTTTAAACATGAATTATGAAATGCTTTTATGTGATACAAATTTCATTCTTGTGATACAATAGGACTATCTCCCCACATTTATCTCCATTTCTGGGTACTTATTGGGGTCTAAAGAACAAAAAGCACAGGATTTTGGCATTCATATGTATAAATGCTTATTTGAAGAGTTTGCAGATGTCTATTCAAGGCAGGAAGTAAGTTCATCCGCTCAGATTTGATGTGTGAATGTGCAACTTTCTTCATCACTCATTCTAAGAATTAATGATAAATGACATTCTGTGGACTGCACTCTTTGTCTTAACTCTTAATTGTATTCACTATGAAGCTTTTAGGAGCACTTGTCACTCATGTGGGCTCTGGGATAAGTCATGAAGTGACCTCTGGTTTGCAAGCCATGGCTCTCCTTGCCTCCAAGTACTCCTATGAGTTGATTCCTCTTTCTTCTTACATAATGGGTATGCATGCTTATCAATTATGTCCTGTGAATCGTTCATTGTATTTCCTTCCTGAGAACCTTGTCATTAATTTTCAGGTATATTGGATTATACTGAAGGGTTTAGTCTTGAAAACTTGCACAAGGTTACTACTGCAACATTTTGTGTGTGTTAACAATGTAATCTAAGCCGTTTATATGGATTATAACCATGGTAGCAATTTTCTTCATTAGGTCTATGAAGCTTTCAGCCATCTTGCGCTTTCAGCAAGATCTAATACGGGGTCTAGATCTTCTATTTCTAATGAACTTCTGATGATTGTAAGAAAGCAGGTGAGTAGAAAGAATAACAGTGATTCCATTCCATACACCTTAACACCTATTGTGACTTGCCCACTTTAAATATCTTGACAGGTGTCTAATCCTGATTTTAAGTATAAAAAGATGGGCATAATTGGGACGGTCAAGATAGTTTACTATTTTGGAGCTGATGTGATCAACTCCTCCCAACCCTCTTCTGAAGTGAGTTGTTTGCTATCCATCCACATCATTATTGGAATTCTCTAATCACTCCCAACTAACTTATGCTTGTGTCTTTTGCCACTTTTTATTAAAGAGAACTGTTTGATTCAGCTTCTGATGTTTAAAAACACCCTGCGTCTTGTAAGAATTTCAATATTGTGCAAATGTGCAATGCTGCAATGTGAGCGTGAAGAATGGAAGAGTTTATTGTATTGATTGTGCTTAAAAATAAGTGTCCTATGTTATACACATATGGTAGTGTTAGTGAGCTAGGGCTTTCCATAAATGCGACTGAGTAAGCTCATATATTTATCGTTATGGTTTTTTCTTATATTCATACCCCCTCAAGCTACAGCATATAATTATGTATGCAGAGCTTGATATAAATTTGTGTAACATAGGACATCTAAGAGTGCTGGCGCACATATCACTATAAAATACTATGTCATCCAAGAGAGCTATTAGATCAACTTGATTAACAATTGGTGTAGATATCAATCAACTCATCCAGGCATTGTCCTTTCTCTTCTCTGCAAAGTCAACCTCCATCTCTTTGTTCCACTTCATGTCAATCTCCATTGAGCGCACATTGTCTTTCCCATCATTGGTAGAATGGGGGTATTACCGAGTACAACTGGGCTACGGAGCTTAAATGATGCAGCATTAGAGCTTTACCATTCCCCTTTTCATTTTCTATTGTTTTCCTATTCCCTTCAAAACACAAACTCTTTTCTTTCTTTCAGTCTATTTCAAATTCCAGTGAGCACACAACTTTATTTCTCATCTTTAGTAGCTACAGTGAGTGACCCAACAATCGACTATATTTTAATTTTTGGTTCTTTTTTTTGTTTTTTCTTGATTTTTCATGGAATAGGCTTGGTTTATGTTTATGCCATTCATAATTTAAAGTATGAAATCTTAGCTTTTATGAAATTTATTTTATTATATGCATACACACAGAGTATAATATATTCATACATATACCCCAGTCCCTAGTTCAAAGATGTTTTTGTATGTGTGCATGGCATTGGTAATCTGGTAATTGGTATCGTACCCTTATACATGCAACACAGATGAGTGCTATTTTTATAACTAAAAATTTAATGCTTACAGATTTTAGTGCATGCATTAAATAGTGATCATAAACGCTTGATTTTGAATCTAACTATTGAGATTCAATCTCATAGGCGGCACCATTTTGGGGCACCCATTAAAACCACAAACCATAATTTGTGTGTGTATGTATACTACTCTCTCCGCCTAATTGTCTTTCCCCTTCTTTTTTGACTGTCTAAAAAAGTTCTCACTTGTTAAAATCACACAGTTTTACTTCCCAGTTTGTGAGCAAAGATCTAAAGTGAAGACTTATTATAGACAGGAAGTATTATATTGATAAGAATAAGCTTATTCGTCGTGCCAGATTTTATCTAATTTGTTTTTATAATGTTTTTATGATTCATTGTTTGTTAACCTAGCATAAACAAAAACACACGATCTTGTTGTATTTTTTATGATAATTTTCTTCAATATTCAATATTGATGAGTTTGCTTGAGTGCAAATATAAGCAAAATGACATAAATACATAATGCATATGCATTGGCGTACAAGTTTGTGAGAATGGAAGTATGTTTTAGGCTTCTAACTGTCAGTGATGACTGCTAAAGGAAAATTTTTTGCCTTGAAACTCATTAATTTTAATGCATAAAAATGGAAACCGACGTATTTAAAAACTTAAGTTTTAGCTAATAACACTTGTGATTTGTTATTGTCTTATTATATAAGTAATGTAGTACTCCTTAGATAGAACTTGGTTAAGTCAAAACATTCACCCTCCGTCCCATTGGACTTTGCGAACTATCCCTTTTTGTTTGTCCCAAAAACTTCGCCACTTTTCTTTTAAAGCAATGAATTTGTGGTTTTGCTTATTTCTCTCTCATCTGCACAAGCCCCAACCACACAGTTTTTAATTTTCTTATTTCACACCCAACATAAAGTTGGCAAAGTCCAATGGGACAAAGGTAATATGAACAACAATACTACTTTTGTCCCAACCGATGTCAGCATAATAAACAAAAGGGTAACTCACTCTACAAAAGGGTCTGCTGACCTAAATTAAGCCAACTGCCAATTCACACTTGTATTCTCTTGAAGAATATTTGTATTTTGAACATTTAAGAAATAGTTCCTCCGTTCTTTAATAGTCGCAACATTAGGATTTTTGCACTATTCACACATCTTAATTTGATCACGATTTTTACTAATATATAGAATTAAATTATTATGTATAAAATGTTATTAAATTTCTATTAATGTGAATTTCCAAAATATTAACTTTTTATAATGTTTACTAATACGTAATTAAATATCATTACAGTCAAGGTAGTCAAAGTCGTGAGGCGCACTCAAGGCGCTAGAGTATTTATATCACCTGAGGCACAAAGCGCAAAAAAGCGCTCGCCTGACTCATGTCAAACGCACTATGTAGAAAATATTATGTATACTATTCTAGAGTGATCAAATATGACATATTCAACATCATATTGAACTAAATGCATTAAAAAGTCATGTCTCTCAATAGCTGGTTTTGAGGTTTGAGGATTGGGGTAGCATAAATTGTGTAGTGTATGAAACTATTAATTAAGTTAGATTATATGAAGTTTAATAAAATTATAATATGAACTGATAATAAGAAGATAACTATAGTTATAGACTGCATATAAAGTATAGAAGATATAAGAAGCAAAGAGAGCTATAAAGTGTAGAATATATAAGAAGCAAAGAGAACTATAAATTATATAATATATAAGAAGCAAAGAGAAATATAATATGTTTGAGTTGTATAAAATATATAAGAATAAAAGAGAACTATAGAAGTAAAGGATGAAGATAGACTGAAAGAATAAAAAAGAAAGGATCAATGAAGATGACAAAATAAATGAAAACTATAATCTGAAAAAGAAAAATGAAAGAACATGGGAAGATGATGAAAAGAAAGACACCTTATGGGTTTCTGACTTCTGTGGGTTGATCATTGAATGTTGTTTCAGCGCTGAATTAGTTGCACGAGTAGAGCATAGCAGAGTAACGATGAAGTCACGCTATAGAAGTTATTTTACCGTGACTCAGAAGTTAGAAGGGCTTAACATGGGTTTAAGTTATTTTGACCTGTTATTTGAATGGGCTAAATCTTATTATAAGTATGGGCTTGTTATTTAAAGTAGGACCAAACAAATAAATAGGCTGCTACTCCTTTCCCAGGCCAGGCGACTGAAGCGTGCGCTTTTTTGCGCTTACGGCCTTCACCGCTTCTGCGCTTATTGCGCCTCACTTGCGCTTCACTCAGTTGGCTGCGCCTGGGACTCTAACAGTCGCTGACTCTCATATGCGTCTCGCCTGGTGCGCTTAAGCGCTCAGGCGCGCGCTTTTGACTACCCTGATTACAGTCAATGTTTTGCGTTGGCAAACGTGAAAGTCAAAGTGTTGCAACTATTAAAGAACGGAGGATAGTACATCTAGGCTTTAACTCCCTTAGTTGAGCACTTTCATCTTCTAAGAAATACCCTGTATCTTTTAATTGTTCTTTGTCTTCCCTTATGCGACTATTCTCTAGACTATGGGATACATGGTACTTGATTAGTAGGCTAAGCTTAATCAAGCTAAACAACTAATCATTTTAACATTATTATGGATCCACATTTACTTTCTTTAGATTTGATATGCTCTGGTTTAACGGGCCTTGCATTTTTCTGTAGAAGTCAAATCTCGATGAAGCTCTGGAGCTTTTGCGAACATCTTTGGAGTATTGCAAACAAATGCCATTGTCGCTGGTTATGTTTTATGATGAATTGGTTTTGACATTGAAAAGCCAGACTATTCATCCATCCATTATAGAATGGTGTGTAAGTTAGTTTGAATTTTATTTGTTGTAATGTAGCATGTGAAGCTAAGTTTGTGTCATCTACAGGATTGCCAAACATGTAGGAGATTTTGAATCAAAATATCTGTCAGATCTTGATGGTGGTCAGCTGCCTAATAAAGAGTTATATTGTGATTTGGAAGGTGAGTGCTACAGAAGTATATTTAATATTCTCAATTAGCAATGATTGTTTTCAAATTTTGATGAAATATGTACAATGAAATTATACTTTTTTATATGCTTACAATACAGGAGAATTGTGGATGAACCTGGATGGAGATATATCTCCTATATGTGTTAACTTCTTGCCACTTGTTTCCTCTGTATTACGGTAATTTTGCAGATATCATGCAATTGCTTTCAAGCTGGATATGTCATGTTTGTGTAGACTGTTCATGATTCTTTTCTTCATGCAGGTCTGCTCCTTCATTGCAAATATTACCTGCAAATATCAGTTTGCTTTCTACAGTAAGTATGTGGTTTTGGACACAGCATGCTGTAACTATGAACTGCATCCATACTTTTGATCTCAATTCTTTTGCTAGATTGAGAGATTAACAAATCAAGGATCACTCTTAGCCATTGATGCACTTCTTGGCTGCCCTTTACACCTCCCGTCACCCAAGGTGAGTCACTGCATTTATTCTATAACATTTTATATTGTTTTACTTGGTTATCTTTCATGGCATTTTCACCTCAACAAAATGATAATTTATGACATGAATTCTCATTCCATTGATTATGTCAAGTTTCAATTATAAGCTAATGGAGCTATCAGTGTAATTTCTCCGAACGGCTTTAAATGTCCAGAGTAAATAATAATTAATCATACTCAATAAAAGGTACTCTCTAGTTTCTTCTCTCCTTCTAACTCTCGTATTTTGTTTTGAAACAAGAATGTGACATCCTTGATGCAAAGTGATATATTTAACCAGTGCAGTGACTCCGGTAATGCTGTTAGTGACCATCTATATCTTTGTTCTTGTTTATCATAGTTTTTTTTAAATATGTTGGGAAAAAACCTAGCCATTAACAAAGTCCCCGTTTGGACGTATTGATTGTGCTTATTACTTTATAACAATTATTTTTTCTCTTTGGCCCATTTGGCTGGAAACCTACTGTTATGTGTGTGTGTGGGGGGGGGGGGTAGAACCTTCCTTAATGATAAAAATGGTCAGTGACTACTTACTAGTTGCACTTGAATTATGATAGAAACCTCGCAAACACAGAACAATAACAGAATGGAAGCAAACAAGCTCAAGCAACAGTAAACTTCATTAATGGGGTAAACCGTATACAAAGTCCCAAAGAAGGAGATAGAACTCCAACTTCCCAGTCCCAGACAAAGTGTCTAAACAGCCTGCCTTCCCTCTGCAGATCTTATTCTATTTATACCCTTCTACAAACAGAAGGTAGTTATTAGTTAGCAACAGCCTCATAACTAATAACTAACTAGTCTATTTTGACTTTCTAGAATAGACTTGCCTTTTGAACCTATTCTTATTTAGACTAGCCGGGTCCTTATCAAATTACTAATTTAATCCATGCCTGGCAGTTTTTTGTGATGCATTAGAGGCGGAAAGTCACGATAATGATGTTTAGATTAGCTTAAATTATTATCTAATCCACAACAAGGCCTATGACCATGGGTTATAAGGCAGAAGAAACGCCTGCCTCATAAAGGTAAGGGTGATCACAAATCTCGCTTGAAGCGTAAGCCATGTTCGTAGATATGGGTGCTTATATTGCTTGCCCAAAGGAGCAAAAGTGGTTCAAGCTAAAGCTTTAATTATCATAGAGATATTCATGATGTTTCACCTCACATTTCTTTTTCATTTCTTTACTTTCTCTTTCCTTCACTGTTTTTTTGTCCCGTTCTATCTCTTCTTCAATCTGATCCGGAATCATTGAGCGTGTTCCTCTTTCTATGGGCCACATTTTTATCGCACACTGGACATATACCAAGGGGAGAATGGCCATGCAGCACTATTAAATGAATCTAATGGAGTTAATGTCGTTATTTAAATTAGTATTATCCTTACGGATCGCCTGTTTTAAGAGAAATATGGAGGGAATGAGACTTATAATCAAATTTTTAAAAAATGACATGTTTCTTAAGAGCAAATGGGAAGACATATGAGGATGGGTATTAAGAAACCACCTGGATGTGAACTCCCTGCACTTTATTACCCAGAGGTGCTGGTAACTGAGATGGGGAGTTGGAGTCCAACTAATTCCCGCAACCAGCCCAAACAAGGGATTGGAAAATATTTGATGAATTCCCATTAAAAATGTCTCTCCCGATCCAATCCTCTAACCTCAATTTCCCATTTATACATTCCAAACGACCCATTAAAATTCATCTTATGCCATATCGGCTGCGAGATCACAATATCAATAGTAGTTACCCTAAGGTGTCCATCAAAGACCACTTGTGAGATCACAATACCATTAGTGGTTGTGGTATCTCATTGCCCTATGTGTCCATATATTTTAGTCTGTGCATTTGAGATGATCGACAGGGAAGAGAGATAGGCTGAGAGAAAGTTGCATATGAGGAGAGATGCTGGAAGAAATCGGAGGGAGGGGGAGATTACAAAGAAGATTGAGTTGATGTAGATGAGTCCAGCGATGATGGGGGGGTGGTATCACACAATGATCTTTTAGTTCAAGAAGTACTATGTACTATCTCCTTAAATTTTAAAAGTCTAAGGCACTAACTTTAACTCACCCCTAAAAACTTAGGAGTATGAAAGTCAAGCACCAGATTGTTTCAATGTCTTCCAAATGAAGTACTGGACTGGAGACCATTTTACAACCAAATAACCGACTTTTTAATCATTTTTTATTTCGACATAAACTTAGAATGTTTACACATACTTAATTACCATCATTTTTATTTTGTTCATTAGTAGCTTATAGTTTCTAAGTTTATGCGAGTTATTTTCCTTGTTAAACCAATACTATATATTTATAGATCATGTATCTTACTGTTCTTAATATTATGCGATTCACGACTAAGAAAATTAATATGCTGATTCATGGGTTTGCGGATTCACGATTTGGATCTCGATTCCATAACCTTGTTTTGGTGACAGTTTCAATTAGTCTTTATCCTTTAATTATAATAAGCTATCAAAAGTGAATGTTTTACGTGTATAGTGTCTTTTTTCCTCCATATTGGCTGCCTGTTTAATCTTTACTTAGCAACTTATGTGTGTGTTTATTTCAATATTTATGCCATTGAACTACCAGGAGGTCCAGGATGACTTATCTATCTTTTCCCCTACTTTTTAAATTATCTAGTAATGGTTACTAGTGTCTGTTTTTCACAGTGATGTGATGACTCCTTGCCCTTTACTCTTGTATTGGTTTCACTACTGTTATGATATCATATCTCATCCAAATGCAAGACAAGTAAGAGCAATCAGCTTATTTAGTCATACGCACTTGGTGTCAGGTTTTTTCTGCACCTACTTGGCAATCATTGGATGGTAATCAAAAGAGGATTGTGATTCTTTCGTTGTATTATGCTGCTAATTGGATTCGAGAACTGGTATGTATCACTTCTTGTAATTTTATTCATGGTTTGGTGTAAAGATGTCTCGCCACAGTTGATATTTGACATTTGCTCCATGACATTTAGCTCAATGCATTCTACTCACAAGTTACCAACAAGTGCAAGTGTGTAAGCCAAGAGACCAAGGGAGAGACAAATCTTAAACTATTCAAGCGGTTAAGGAATCTCATGTAAGCTAATATATTTTTGTTACACTTCATCTCAAGCTAAGCCATACATATATAATGATTTGATCTTGTCACACATGTATAAAACTCAAAATAACAACCCTCACAACTCTTCGGATACTTTCCTTTGGAACTCATTCCAACACCTTATTTTGAACATTCAAACACTTCAACTTCTCTTTGAACTTGAATGCTTCACTTTGAACACCCATAAACTTTTTCCAGTCCATTATTTTAGCCCCTATTACTAAAAACGTATCATATAGGTACGCGTACTTTAAAAAATTGATCACTCAGGCCTTTTAACCATAACAAGTTTTTATATAAATTATAAAAAGTTCAAAAGTTTGTTAAAATTTTAAGAAATATAAATAAAAAGTGTGGACAATTTAAGAATCTCAAAGTATATATTTTTGCATTTTTGGGATTATTTGTATATTTTACATCTTTTTAAAAGTTACTCCCTATTACATTTAAATTTTATATTTTTTAAATTTTCACTTTATTCTTTTCATTTATCTATATTTTATTTTATTTTAATGTGTTAAAATTATTTATCTATTTTTGTACTTACACTATTTTTATATTATTATTACACTATTTTTCAAATTTATATGATTTTTTATAAGATTAATCAATTCTTTTAAGTTTTAATAATTTTTATAATATACCTTGCTATAGCAGGTTAAAATGGCCTAATTGACAGTGCTTTTGAAGTAAACACACTCATATGATACTTTTTTAGTACAAGGACTTAAGTGAGTGATTGGAAATAGTAGAAGGGTGTACTTGACCCTTTTCTCAACTTTTTTATATGCACACATAGGAGCATCCTTCAACTTTTCTGCACTAGACTCCTTTTTCTCTCTCGATTTATATTACTTTTGTGGTTGCAATATTTATGCTGCCTTTAAGATTTTTTTAACTCTTTTGGGAATAATCCTCAGACGTTTTGATTTTTTTTTTCAACAAGCAGAGCGAAAACTGAAAAATATAAGTCTTTTTTGACCTAAAATAGTACTGTCAGTAAAAAAGTGTGTCAGAATGTACCCGTTCCCCAGAAAAGAAAGCTCTAATACCATGTTGAAGATTAGGGATAACACAACAGAAAAGCACTTTTTTGTTATACTTGATACACTCACTGCACAACATGGGACACCTTCCACTGAAAAGATATTCTTCAGCAGGTTCATTGTTGAGAAAATGATAAAATATTGAAGTGGTTGCCTTTTGAAAAAGTTGCTCTTCTATTGCTGTTCAAATTAATTTTGATATGCATTATCTTATAAATTATGAAGATATATATATATATATATATATATATACATACATACATACATACATACATACATACATACATACATACATACATACATACATAAGGGTGGGATCACATACAAACTAGTCCTCCCATGCTAACCTACAAACTGTCACAAACTGTGCATCTTTACATTTATTTGCACTGCATACTGAAGTTCAATGTGTTGCATATTATTTGTATGGCATATTGAAATTCAAAGTGTTGCATATTATTTGTATTGCATATTGAAATTCACAGTGTGCATCTTTACAGTATTTGTATTGCGTATTGAAGTTCAAAGTGTTGCATAGTATTGAGTTTGTAGGTTAGTATTTTAAGCATGGTTTGTATTTGATCTCTTACCTACACACACACACATATATATATATAAGGGAGTGTTCTCCTAAGGTAGGCCTCAAACTTACAAGTTTTAGGCCTCTTTCATTTGAGGTGATTCAGGCTCGAATATTTTTATGAAATTTTGTAAGCATGTTCTCCATGAAGTGTAAATTATCTCCACTAAATTTCAAATTAAATTTCAAACGAGAAGTCAGTTGAATAAATTATTGAAAAAAACTGCATTATATACATAGCATAAAACTGCACAATTTTCAACTTATTTATCGACTTCTTGGTTGAATTCTAAACTGAAATTTGGTAGACATAGTCTGCCTTTCATTGAGAACATGCTCACAAAATTTCATCATAAAATTCGACCGGGAAGCACCTCAAATGAAAGAAATTATGAATTTTAGGCCTACATTAGGAGAACATTCTCTGATAAGGTTATCTTTGCATTCTAAACTATCGACCACTGCGAGGATTTCCTCTAGGATTCACGTGTGTTCAATTGACAAAATTGCAGATTCTTGGAGAGCTTGCTAAACAATTGTCTCAGAGATTACCCATTATCCCTGCCAGAACTCTGCCCTCTGGATCCTATATCACTAAGCTCGTTTCAGCACACTAGGTCTAGGAATTATGATAGGGGCAAAGAGTTTACCAAACATGAAGGAAGTTCATCACAAAGTAAAGGAAAGGACAAGAAAAAGACCCCCAATGTATCATCAAGCTCAAAAGAGGAAAACTTGAAGCAGCAAACTATAACAGATATGTTGAAAAAAACAAATGTTATGCCTAACACAGAAGGGATAACTGACAATATATCTGGAATCTGCTCAAAGGGAAGTATGCCAGAGTTGTCTGGGAATAATCAAAATAACCTCATTTCCCCACATAATATAGATATATCTTCCGCTGCAAAGTTACTTGAACCTCAGAGACACAAGTTCAGACCTCTTCTACCCGAGTGTTTTTCCACATTTGTATCATCGAAGGTAACCTTTAGTTTTGTACTCAATAACTTATCACTTATAATGTGTTTTTGAATCAACATTGCTTTGGGTATGGCCGCATCAGAGATTATAACTTGAATGTTTTCGCACAAAAAATTCTAGAAAATGGATAAATTTCTAGGAACCCTTTGATTCCTCTAGATTTATTTTTCTTTGGAAATCATGATGACATTGGAAGTATGGGATATTGGGATGATAGTGGCGGCAATGGTTATAGGTGATGAAGATGATGGTAGTGGCAGAGTGGTGACAGTTGCGATAGCGGTGACCAGTTAGGTGGTGGCATTAAGCGATTATGGTTCTGCGATGATGGCAATAGTGCTGGATTGGGTGTAGTGATAGTAGAATTGTGACAGCGTCAATGGTTGTGTTGATAGTGATCACAATTGGTTGATACTTGATAGTAGTGATAATTGGTTAAACATTCTGCGAATGTCTTTCCAACAAGGGAACTCAAATTCCATATATCGGGCGAATTGAGCCATGCGGCTGAAGTATTTATACAGAGTATAGATAACAACTATTCTGTTTCAGATCCTAAAAAATAGGATCTATCTATCTGCGTTCTTATCTACTAATTAAAGCTATCTATCAGCTCTAATTCTAATCTATACAGCAACGGATGTACATAGAATAAAAAATACAATAATATGTCACATTTTTCAACACTCCCCCTCAAGTTGGTAAGTATATATCATACATTCCCAACTTGCTTATAAGTAGTTCAAATGTTGGTTTGAACAGTCCCTTTGTTAGAATGTCAGCTGTTTGTTCCTTGGTTGATATGAATGGAGTACACACAATCCCAGCTTCAATCTTCTCTTTGATGAAGTGTCTGTCTACCTCAATATGCTTAGTACGATCATGTAGCACAGGATTATGAGCAATATTGATAGCTGCCTTATTATCACAGTATAACTTCATAGGTAGTTCCATCTCCATATTCAATTCTGAAATTACCCTTTTGATCCAAAGCAGTTCACAGATTCCAGTAGCCATAGATCTAAATTCAGATTCTGCACTACTTCTAGCAACTACATTCTGCTTCTTACTCCTCCATGTCACTAGATTCCCCCAAACATAAGTACAATACCCAGATGTTGACCTTCTGTCAGTAACTGAGCCTGCATAGTCTGCATCTGTAAAAGCTTCAACACTTCTATTGTTGCCCTTTCTAAAAAATAATCCTTTCCCTGGACAGCTTTTCAAATATCTTAAGATTCTGTAGGTAGCATCAAGATGTTCCTGGAATGGATTATGCATGAATTGACTCACCATACTAACTGCAAAGGCAATATCTGGCCTCGTATGTGCCAGATAGATCAATCTTCCCACTAATCTTTGGTATTGCTGAACATTAACTGGAACTCCTTCTTTGACATCTCCTAACTTTTGATTAGGATCAATTGGAGTATCTATTGGTCTGCAAGCACTCATACCAGTTTCATGAAGAAGATCTAGTACATACTTCCTCTGGGACACTACAATCCCCTTCTTTGATCTGGCTATCTCCATGCCAAGAAAGTACTTCAATTCTCCCAAGTCTTTAATCTCAAATTCTTGGCCCATCTTTTTCTTCAAGTCTTCTATCTCTTTATAGAAATTTCCTGTAAGAATGATATCATCAACATAAACAATTAATATTGCAATCTCCCCCTTACTTGAAAACTTCATAAAGAGAGTATGATCTGCTTGAGCTTGTTTGAATCCCTGTCTCTTTATAAACTGAGTAAACCTGTCAAATCAAGCCCTTGGGGACTGTTTAAGTCCATACAAGGCCTTTTCCAACTTGCACACCTTTGAGCCATACTGACCCTCAAATCCAGGAGGAGGGCTCATGTATACTTCCTCTTCAAGTTTCCCATTTAAGAAGGCATTCTTCACATCTAACTGTTGAAGTGGCCAGTCTAGGTTAGCAGCCAAGGATAGAAGAATTCTTATAGTATTTAACTTTGCAACTGGAGCAAAAGTTTCAGTATAATCTATCCCATAGGTCTGCGTATATCCTTTGGCTACTAATCTGGCCTTATATCTTTCAAGTGTTCCATCTGCCTTGAATTTGGGAGTAAATACCCATTTGCATCCCACTGTTGGTTTGTTCTTGGGTAATTCTACAACCTGCCATGTCTGATTCTTTTCAAGAGCATCAATTTCCTCCAAAACAGCCTTCTTCCACTCAGGTTTAGATAGAGCTTCATGGATAGTTAAGGGAATAGAAATAGAGGAAAGACTAGAGGTAAAGGCTGCAAATGATGTTGATAATTGAGAATTAGACATATAGTTTGAGATGGGGTATTTAACACATGACCTTCTCTCTTTTCTGAGGGCAATTGGTAGATTTAGATCACTAGAGTTATTACCTTTGTCATTTTCTGACACTGAGTCAGATTCATGAGCAGTTGCAGGGTCAGAGATGTTCTCTATTCTTTGATTTGGAACTCTCCTTTCATAAACTTTGCCCCAGAATTTACTTGTCTGCTGCTCATCTCCTTCCCTTGTTTCAGGAATATTTATTTCATTTTCTTCTGATTCTTGACTATTTTCTAGTGCATCTAAAATTCTGTTATGATGTGCATCTAGATTAATGTCAAGAAACTCAAGATTTTCATGACTATGTTGAACAGTATTACCATCTTCACTAGAATTCTCCCCCTGAAGATGAGTATTATTAAAAAAAGGTTGATTTTCAACAAAATTAGTGTTCATTGTGATAAACATCTTTTTTGTTGTAGGATCAAAACATTTATAACCTTTCTGTGTTGAAGACAGTCCTAAGAAAATACATTTTTTGCCTCTAGGATCAAATTTGCTTGCAGTTCTATCAGGATTTGTAACAAAAACTGTGCAGCCAAAAATCTTTATGGGAAGAGAGTTAATAAGTCTAGTTTGAGGAAAACAGTTTTGAAGTGTATCAATAGGAGTTTTAAATCCTAGAGTTTTTGAAGGCATCCTATTGATTAAATAGGTAGCATGCAAAACAGCCTCTCCCCATAAATATTTTGGAACCCCAGTAGAGAACATAATTGCACGAGTAACTTCAAGCAAATGTCTATTTTTCCTCTCAGCTATTCCATTCTGAGCAGGTGTATTTATGCAGGAACTTTGATGAATAATCCCTTTTTCAGCAAAAAAATTGTTTAAATTTTTAGAAAAATACTCAAGACCATTATCACTCCTTACCATTTTGATATTGGTATTGAACTGAGTTTGGACCATTGAGTAAAATTTTTTGAACACGTCTTCAACCTCAGATTTTTCTTTAATTAAGAAAACCCATGTCACTCGTGTGTGATCATCAATAATAGTTACAAACCATCTTTTTCCTTTCAAGGTTGAAACCCTAGATGCACCCCAGATATCACTGTGCACAAGGGTGAAAGGACTAGTTGGTTTGTAACTATGAGGGATATAAGAACTCTTATGATGTTTGGCAAGTGCACACATATCACAATGAAATGATGAAGGATCCTTATTATGAAATAATTTAGGAAACAATCTTTTTAAATAATAAAAACTGGGGTGACCTAACCTATAGTGCATTAAATACACTTCGTTATTACAAGGAAAGGAAATAGTTTGCAGACAAGTTTTTTCCGGATCTTGTTTATTCAATTCAGTTCCTTCATCAAAGACATATAGCCCATTCTCCTCTCTAGCACTGCCAATCATCCTCCCCGATGCCAGATCCTGAAAAAGGCAATAAGAAGGATAAAATCTTACACAACACTGAAGATCTTTGGTTATTTTGCTAATAGAGATAAGATTGCAGGAAAGTTTTGGAACATGTAAGACTTTAGAAAGGTTAATGGATGAAGAAACTTTAATATTTCCCATCCCTGCTATGGCTGAAAAAGAGCCATCTGCAACTCTAACTTTCTTATCTCCTGCACAAGGTTGATATGAAGAAAAAAGATTTGGAATGAAGGTCATATGGTCTGTTGCACCTGAGTCAATAACCCAGGTACTTTTTGATTTTTTAGAACAAAAGTATGATGTAATTTTACCATTTTGGGCAAAAGAACAAGAAGGGTTTTCTTGGTTGGAGATTTTCTGGGTAGGTAGAAACTGAAGAAGGTAGTCTATCTGTTCCTTTGTGAAAGGCAGCTGTTTAGAGTCAACCTCTGACTCTTGTTGAGTCTCAGTCACAGTAGTTTGTAGAGCCCTTTCAAATTTCTTCTTTCCAGCTCCTGGTGGCTTTCCATGAATTTTCCAGCATGTTTCCCTGGTGTGCCACAACTTCTTGCAGTGATCACACCAGGGTTTTTTCCTGTCATCACCTCTGGCCACTAAAGCTGATGAGTCCCCAGGTTCCTCATTAGGTACTGGAGTGTTGTTCATGACTCTCCTTCTGCTATCTTCCAACCTGATCTCAGAAAAAACCTCTCTGATTGAAGCCAGAGGTTTTTTTCCAAGTATTCTGCCTTTTACTTCATCTAGGTCCCTATTAATTCCAGCTAGAAACATATATACCCTATCATTCTCTTCTCTTTTCTTATGTCTTGCTAAATCCTTAGAACTTTCCCACTCTTCATTATCATAGCATTGGTCTAATACTTGCCACAGAGATACCATTTCATTGTAGTATGAAATGATATCCCTATTTCCTTGTTTAGACTGCCACAACTTGGTTTTGAGTTCAAAAATTTGAGAAGAGTTCTCCAGATCTGAATATGTTTCTTTAATAGAGTCCCATACCTCTTTTGCAGTTTTCATAAACATATGAGGTCTGGCAATTAAGGTCTCCATGGAGCTGAGAAGCCAAGCTGTTATGAGTGAATTCTCTGACCTCCATGTGTTGTATCCTTCCTCTCCAGGTAATTTAGGTTTGATTTCTCCTGTGAGATAACCCAGTTTCCCCCTCCCATCAATTGCGAGCCTGACAGATTGAGACCATTCCAGGTAGTTTGTTCCATTCAATCTATGACTAGTGATTACCATAGATGAATGAATAGGAGACTGGTAATTTGTCATGGAGCTAATTTGGGAGTTAGGGTTGGTAGTGTGTGAGGAATCAGAATCACTGGTTTCTACCATTGTTTTCTTTAAACCGAGGCTCTGATACCATGTAAGTTTGAGGAATTAATCTTCCTTGTATATTATTGAGCCATGCGGCTGAAGTATTTATACAGAGTATAGATAACAACTATTCTGTTTCAGATCCTAAAAAATAGGATCTATCTATCTGCGTTCTTATCTACTAATTAAAGCTATCTATCAGCTCTAATTCTAATCTATACAGCAACGGATGTACATAGAATAAAAAATACAATAATATGTCACATTTTTCAACACTTTGGAAGTCAATTTCTGCTGACTCCATTTTCATCTGCTAGTAAATGCATCAGAATTTGGAAACTGACTTATGGGTGTCATTCTTTGAGCTCTCAAATTGAGCCCAAGTGAGATGAGTTTTTCTTTTATTCATCTTAGAATACACAACATCTAATTCACTAGCACATGTGGACAACAACTGTGGCTAAATATTATAGTTATTTCCTAAGGATGTTTTTACTTGGACTGTTTTCAGTCCCAGACCAGACTTGGATAGTTATAAAAATACACATAGACCAGACATTACCAGACCAGTTCATACCAGACCAGACCAACAAATTTCAGTCCAAGTAAAAACATCCTAAGTAGCATTGTAGCACAGGCCTTGGGTAGGTGTGGTGGTCTTGTACCAAGAACATATGGGATACCAATAGTCTCACAAACTCTTTTGTGGTCATGTGTCTCTACTATTTCACTGTGTATAACCTACATAAGAAAACATCTTGACCTAGTTTGCAATCGGCTGTTAGCTGTTGCTGGTTGTGTCAGCTATTTGATCACAGCTAGTTGTGTTAGCTGTTTTGATTGGCTGATTATGTTAGATTGTTGTTAATAAATGTTTGGTAAAATTAGTTGTTATAAAACAGTTGTTCGAGTGTAAAAAGACATATAAGGACACAGTATACCAGTAATAATAAAATAATACTACCTCCATCCCGTTTATATTGTCTCTTTACGGTTAACGATGTTTGACCGACAATAAAGCAAACAGATCCCTGTCCGCACTCAAATTATTTTTAGGAAAAAAAAAGTACATATTCAGAAACTACATTTAAAGCTTTACAAAGTCGCAAAAAACTGAATCAAATTTGATAAATTTTTGATATATAAAGTAAGAAATTAAGAGTGATTTGTGTTGACTAAGTAAATAGGAACTGGGACAATATAAATGGGACGGAGGGAGTAATAATAGTAATGATAATGGTGATGATGATGAAGCAATAATAATAAAATAATAATAATAATAGTAATGATAATGATGATGATGATCATAATAATAATAATACAAATAATAATAATATTAGTAATAATAATAATAGTCTTTGATTAGATAATAAATATAACTAGTGATGTTTTACCAATTGTAAAAAGGTTTGAAACTACACATTTTTTAGGTATCATAACAAAGTGGAATGTTTAGGTATCTTTGCACCTTGATATCTTATCAGGTAGCCTTGACTGGTTTTCATTGATCGTGTATGCAGAGAAGGCACTGGGTTATTTAGAAGCAGAGACAAATTAAATTAATTGTCAGATTCACATTTGAAAAAATAATAATTAATTAGTGAATATTAAACTAACGCAGCACAAAAGATTCAATCGAGAGAGGCACTAAGCATGAAGGACACGATAGAGAGAAACGGGAACCGCCAATCTGAAATGCTGCTCCATGTAGCTTATTAATACTTGGCTGGTTGGGTCCAATAAGCTAAGCCAATCAGCCATTTTCCAAACAATAATTTTAGCTGCTTTGTAGTCAAAATCATTAAATGTAGTCAAAGAAGCTAAAATTTGGCTGATCAGCCATTTTCCAAACAAGGCCCTTGTTTTCCCAAGGTACAACCTTTTGTAAACGTTTTTTTTTAAAACATTACTCTTATCTTTTTTAGACAGAGGGAGCACTAGAAAACTGCTTATAGTCTAGTGGTTAGTGCACACATTGCCAAATATGTGCTTTTGACCAAAGGTTTTGAAATGCAGGATCAAGGCTCATGCTGTATGGATCCAGCTGCTGAGGTGATTGTCTTTTCAGTTTTGATTGCTTACATTCGAATACATCAGAGTTCCTTTTGGCATTTGTATTTAGGAGGAAATAGATGAATCTGCCTCCACAAATGCGGCCCTCTAGTATTTGTATATGTGCTTAATTAATATTTGGATATATACCTTGACCAGGATGTATTTAGGAGGCAGTAGATGAATCTGCCTCCACAAACGGGGCCCTCTGGTATTTGTATATGTGCTTCAGTGCTTCATTAATATATTTGGATATATTTAACTTTTTCTCTTTGATGGACGTAGTTACCACTTCATCTTTATCTCGTACGTGATCTTAGCAAAAAGCTGGATTACTTTAGTCCCGCACAAAAACAAACAACGAAATGGACTTCTTAAATGATGTTCGCTTGATGTTTCCCTCTCTTAAAAGAAATCTTGATCTGGTGCTTTGTATTCTTAGAGAAGGTATGCAAACATTAATTAATGACATTGCTTTAAAAAGATGACTTTGACTTTCCAACTTACACAAACTTTTTATAGATACTGAAATATGTCAAGATCATTGGAAAGTTCAATCCGCTGCATCTGGGAATCCAGATGTTACAAGCATTCTTTGTTCCACACCAAAAGTTTCCTACAGTGTTTTTAAGGAGACACTTTGCTGCTTTGCAAAGGTAAATTTCTTATTAGATGTTTTTCACACATGCATTATTCTGCTTCCTGAAAATAAGACTTTTTCTTGAGGCTTACCTCCTTGTTTGGGTGAACTCGAGGGATAAGACTGCAAAGTAAGAAAAAGAGTAAACATACTAATTACTAAATAAGTATGCATTTCAGTTCTTGTTAATGAAGCTGTATATTAATCGCCTTTCCTCTTTCTTTTTTCTGTATCCCATTTTCTGGATCTGGCTAGTTCAGATGGTAAAAATTCCAGAGGTTCAGAGGGAAACATTATTCCTAACTGATCTATTAGAGGCCTTCCAGCCAACCAGAATTCCAGATTGCTTCTTTCTGGGCATGCAACATATTCCTTCTCCTGGGAGCATAGGTTATCTATATTCTGGTGCATATTCTTTCATTGAAGGATCATTTAATGCAGGTATGTAGCTGACTTACTGTTGTTTCCACTTTAACTATTCTCTTTATTTTCTTAGGATATCTGGAATTTACTGCATGACTATTTCCATGGCAGCAAGTACTATTTCTTTGACACTATCTACAGAGGTAGTGCTAACTTTAGAAGCAATAATATTATCAATCCGGAAGATTGTAGATGGAGGTTTGAATGAAACTGGGAAAGACATTCAAAAAGGATTTACAGAAGAGTTCATCCCGTTCTTATGCAAAAAGCTGGGTACCTCTGCCAAAGAACTCTTGATTCAAAAGTATGATAGTAAAAATATCGAAGAGGATTCAAAAACCAGAGTATGCATATCCATCTTTTGTTTTCAACTACACAAGCCATTTTTTACTTCAAGGTGGAGGTTGTGACTCTTTGCTCATGATTTTTCAGCGAGAACTTGTCCAAAAGATTCTTCGCATTTACTTGGAAAATTGCCAATCCACATACGATTCTCTAGATGAGCTTGCCTGCTTAATATCATCCCAGGTGCATAAACATTACATGGTCTTACTTCTTACTGGTCACTAAAAGATGCATCAGTATTGTTACCACTGATTTTTTTCGTACTTAAGTCATAACTGTTTAAAAATGGGGTAATCTTTGTGGTATATCTCTAACTTTATGAATAGCTAGATTGATAATTGCCAATGCACTAGAACTTTATTATGTTACACTACTGGTTTCTGATTACTCTGATACAATATCCGATTTCATGGCATTTTCTTGTATTTAGGTGGCTTCTCACAGAAGTCGGGAAGAAGATAGTTGTAGCTTTCCAAGCCTCTGCCCCACAACGTTCATTGCTTGCTACCGGGTGATGGTGAGAAGTCTAAAGTTTATTATGTATCGATACATTTATGCCAGACAGATTGACTCAGAGTGTTTTGCTACTACAGCATGAACAGAATGTTGTGGCACTAAATAGATTGGTGGGTTGGTGTTTTTTAATTACCAGAGCATTAAATATACTTATTGTTCTTTTTATAAGTGATATTGAAGTTGAATCTTATGTATTTAGGTAAAGGAAGTTTGTCAGCTGGAAAAATCCAAAGCAGGTGACAATACGGAAGATGTGGAACACCTACTGAACAGGCTGCTGCAATCTGTTAATATTGTGGTGTTGTTAGTTAGCATGTGTAAAACTCATGATAAGGTACTATCCTTCTCTATCCATTCCTATGTGTTTACGTGAAATCATGCATAACATGACTTAGGCTGATTAATAATTGCGGAACAGGTTGGTGTTCATGCAACGGCTGTCAAGTTCAGCGGGAAGTTTTTTGATTCCTTCCTTAAAGGTATAGCTTATGAAGTTAGATGTCTTTAACTAAGACCACGTAACTAAAATTGATCCCCCCTTTCCCAGTTTTTGGTTTTTTACAGGCTCAATTTCAGTTGCATGGTGAACGAATAATCCAACTGGTGAGGTTCATTATTATTTTATTAAAAGGAAGTATTTACTCTATAAGATAAAATTAATTTGCTTCTTATAAAAAATTTCATAGGTTAAAGAACTTCAGAAGGCAACAAGAACCATACAAACACTATGCTCTGAAGCAAAGGTTCACACTATGATTACAAATCGTTATACTAGAAATTAATGTGCAGTGTAGTTTATTAACAGTAAATACTGTTGATTGTGATTGCGCCGGGTGCAGGGCATGAAGCGAACTGCTATAACAAGCAATGTTCCATACACAAAGAGATCTATGGAGCGCTTCCTCTTTCACGTCAAGGCTCTCCTTCATTCAAAATCAAGTGGATGCACTTTTTGGATGGGTAAGTGAGACTATGTTGTTATGTAAAGTTCTCAAAGCACTTGAAAATATGCACGATTCCTTTGATTATATACACTTCATTGCGAAAGCCATCATCTTATCTTAACGTTTATCATCTTTATCCATAGTATATATTTTACCTGTGCGTTTCAAGATCTTGGTGATTGGTTCAACGTGTTTTACAAGTGGAGCCTTTATCTTGCTAAAGTAAAGGATCATGTACCTTTTCAAAACAATTGAAAATGCAAGGACATTTTTTAATCAAATGAGGTGATGAACCTCACAACGTAATTGTAATAGGCAGTGGGCGAACAGGTGTTAGCCATCCCTTCACTCTCATTTCTCCTTTTGCAATAGAAACACTAACTTTGTCTTTCATTTTTTCTGAATATCATTCTTCAATTGGAAATCAAAAGCTTGTGAACATAAGATTGAGCACAACACATTTACAAATCAACAAATGGCAACAAGTCTTTATTAATATGTTTTATGCAGATTTCAAATTTTAAAAAGTTAAAAAAATCTGAAGAATATACTCCACAAGGTCTTGTTTGTTATATGGTGGATGCACCGATTTGAGTGGATTTGTTCTGTTTAGATGGTTGACACTTGGTCAAATTGCTAAAAAATACGTTTGGCTATTAGAAAGTTCTTTTTGTGGCCAAGGTTCCAAAATTTTGGAAATGAAAGTGTTAATTGGATAAATTAGTTGACCAACTGTATTACAACTTCATTTCTATAATTCTTTTTTATCCTTACTAATATTACTCCTGGAAAAGTGTTTTAAAAATGTGACTTGGTATCTTTTAGTGACTATAATTGTATTCAAAGTTACTATGGTGTAGTTACTATAATTGTAATTCTATTACATGTCTTGTGTTATATTCTGTTTACTCTGTCATATCTGCTTCTACTAATAGGCATTTGCTGGCGGTGGTTGTTAACCACTTGCCAGACCCAACAATATCTCAATATTCAACAAATATTAAAGGAGTGTTTGCTATTGCTTAAAATAAGCACTTCTTAGCTTTTAACTTAAAATAAGCTGAAAAAAGTGTTTGCTAATGCCTACTTCTACTTTAAAAAAGCACTTTAAAGCTAAAAGCTGGAAGCTGGTAGAGAGTTGCTTTAAACTGCTTTTCACTTTTTCTATCACACAAAAAGCACTTATTTTATCAAACAGTACTCACTTTTACTTTTTCAAAAACACCTTTTTCTCAAACACTACCAACTTTTACTATTAAACACTTTTTCTAAAATCACTTTTTAAAAGTAAAAGCAATCGCAAACACTCCCTAATACTCTTTCGTATTTTATGTTTCCTGTGTGCGCAGTGACGCAAGGCCAAATGTACTTTCACTTCAACTTTTGTAAGAACAGTAACCAAATGAACTTGTATATTTGAAAAACTAAGAAAAACGTACTGTTTGACCAATGAATAGTTATTAATACAGGTAACATGAGATAGGAGTAACAACAAGGATGTTGACATTTAACAGAACAGATACTATGAGAAAAGAGAAAGTACAGCAAAAAAATTACTAATGTACTATATAATTCATCAACATTTTCATTTACCCCAGTGCCGCAAAGGCTCCCACCTACGGTGGGGTAGGGGGGTCGGATGTACACAATCTTACCCCTGTACTAAAGCACAAAGAGATTGTTTCCGGATGACCCATAGTGAAAATCGCGTCCAAAATTGCATGGACTGACTACTGCTTCATAACAAAGAAGTGCACACAGTTTAGTGAGCCATTTTGCTTTATTCCATCATATTCTCAAGCCAAAAATAATGAATCTTTGGCTCCATTGCAAATGATGGAAAATAATGTAACTATATAACTATAAAACAAAAATGACACCAATGACAATAAAAACCGGTAGTCATTTTCAAATATAAATTATAGTATAAAATTCTAAGCGAACAAGAAAGCAAAATAATGTCCTTAAAATGTTTTACACACTTTACCTAATAGTGAACACCTTTTTTGTAACAGCTGTATACAAATCTCTAAGATGTGATATGCTGGTCAAAACCACAAATACAATATGCCAACAATTGATTGCTAAAAAAATGTTGTCCTGAAATTGGGAAAAAAGTTCTGTGTGGTAAAAGGGCCTTCTATATCTTATATCTGGGAGTAAAGCTGCCAACTCACCCTTGTCTCTGATGGCGCAGGAAACTTAAAACATAAAAACTTGTCCGGTGATGTAGTGAGTTCCCAAGCATATATAGAGAAGGATGAGAATGAAGAAGTGAATGATGATCCTGCTGAAAATACAATGGATGATCAACCGGAAGCCTGATGCTAATGATTAATTATTGGACAGACCTAAAAAAGGTAAGTCTTGAAAAAACTGTCTTTTGCTTGCTGTTTTTGTGAAGCAAGACAAACAATAGGACAAATATTGTTGTAGAAGCCATATTTTCCTTGGCTATTGTTCTTCATTTCTATGTAAATAGCTTGTAAAATGTAAACCATGGTTTAACTCCTTTTTCATACTAAACCTATAGATTCAGTGTTTAGAAGCTTTTGAGGAATTGAGGATAATAAAAAATGGCTTGTGCTTTATTTTACCCTTCATGTCATATTATTGGTAAAAGCTTATTCGGGCCTACCTTTCTAGTATTACTATTGCGGTGATCGAAGCAAATATGGTCTAATCGCAAATTGTACTGTACACCTATGCACATTTAATTGTTTTTTTTTAAATTTATTGACTGGTCCTCATCGTCACCTGAGCTCATTTCCTTTTGTCTGCTAATTTTCATGTGCTTTCTATTGTATTTTGCTCATTTTTATTGTAAACAATGTCTCTCTACATATGACGGTTAATCATTTTTCTCATATATGCTTAAAGTTAAGCAACATCCTGGTATGTCATGTATTTACGATTTTTTTAGAAACAAAGATGTGATAAAGTTGAAAGTCACAAGTCAAGTGTCATATTCGATTTCCCTCCCTGCTATTGCGTAAGGCGAGAAAGGCTTATTATCTCACTTACCGGTACATCATTCCATTTTTAGGACTCACATAAACCCCGCGAATAGTGCCACAATCGGTTCGACGTACCACAATAGATAGCTATAAGTAATGCAACTTTGAATCTCATGGAGAGTTTGATCCTGGCTCAGGATGAACGCTGGCGGCATGGCTTGTTTCCAATACTCCACGCCGTCCACGGCTTGAGCGAACCAAACCTCCGCAATTCTCATGGCAACAGACATGCTTGAACCATTTTACGAAGTATTGAATTGCAATTCAGAAGAGAAGGGGGTTAGTGATTGCTTGAATTCCCTTTACCCCCTTCTCGACAGAAGTTTTTTTTAATATTTTTTTATATTTTATAATTAAATTAAAAATAAGGTCACGGCGAGACGAGACGTTTATCATTATGATAGGTGTAGAACATTTCTTTAGCAAAGAATGAAAAAGATTGAGCTAGCACGTCACACTTGCCTGTCTACTCTCAGGAAGGCGGTATGCTAACATTTTTGACGAACTTTGACTCTTCCTATGAGCTTTAGTAGTTTGAACCTGATCTCTCAAAAAGAGAGGAAGCCAGAATTCAATAAGTTACTACTATTTGGAGAGCCTTGTCTTTCTAGTCCAGTTTCCTTTTCTGTTGGGATGTATTATTAAACCCAAATTGGGGTTATCTGCTAAAAACTACGGTCGAGCGGTTTATGAATGTCTTCGTGCTGGACTTGATTTTACCAAAGATGATGAGAACGTAAACTCAGGCTCAAAAAACGAAGGTGTTTGTCGTGGATGACCAAAAGGAATTACTTAAAAGAGCTCGGGTCGATCAAATATATACAGAAATACCGATTTGGTCAATCCGAGCTCTCTTCATGTTAAATTGCACATCAGGGACTCCCAAGCACACAAAATAGAAAAAATAGAATAAATAAAGGCTTGTTATTTTATATCAAATATCATTTAGAAACATCAAGCATGATAATTTGATATTCTAGACACTTTATACTGGGATGTTGTATGAAATGGACTAGAGTACTAGACATACTTATATGAAAAAATATTATCCCAAAAATAAAGTAAAGTTATACACATGTATAAACTAAAATTAAAAAAATTAAGAACAAACTAAAAATAGCAAATCACACGTGTATATGAAACAATTATTTCGGTACATGGATTGATGAACAATGAAAGATGAAACTAAGTCGTGAAATATAATTAAACATACATGTAGAGGTCATGCTATAAAAACTATGTAGTATGGATTAAAATTTATGAAACCTGCATAATAAAATATGTGTGCATGTGGGGGTCAAGGGGGGCGCTCCCCCATGTTGCCAAGTCACTCTCCTATTTAAATTACAAGAGTGTCACTCCTATTTGAATTATGAGAATGCAATTGTTAAAGGAGTTTGAATAAGAAGTTTTGTGCTTGCAAAGACACTTCAACTAAGGTAGCTTAGTCAAGGGTCTACAACAAATAATAAACAAGAAAAAGGTTACAAATTAACAACTGAATTTTTTAACAAATTAAAAAACTAATTACAAAGCGGTAACAAGAATTTTAAAGGAAAGTTGTAACATAAAAGCAATTAACAACTCACACATAATGACTGCCAATGATAAGAACTTGTTTCACTATTAAAAAGGTATAAAAAGCATAGACAGTTTCAGCCCTGTTTACCTCAGGCCCACAGGGCACAGGCCCTCTCCCCCTGACCCCAGGGGTAAAAAATAAATAAATAAAAATAAATAAAAACATAGGCAGAATGTAAACATACAACATACTAGCTTCATGGCCATGCCTATATGGAGGCAAAATAGGGTCATTCACTCAAGGTCCCAAAAATTTAAAAGCCCTTGGGGCCCAAAAGTTTTTAAAAACTTTGGAGCCCAAAATGTGTATATATACATATGCATGTTTTGTACTCCTCTTTTAAAAAATCATTGAGCATTTGAGGTACTGTTGTCGAAGGTCAACCTCCTCTATAAATATGAATCGAGTTGTGAAGTATATGATTTGTGAAACCTATGTTTGATTTTGGAGAAAAAATTGCATGGGTGGAGAGGGGGTGGTGAAGGAATAATTTGGGGGAGAATTTGCAATAAAAAAATTGGAATGCAAAATATGAATTTAGTATTCAAGGGACAAATTGGTGCTACAATATCGAAGCAAAAGCTTGGAGGAAATTTTATAGGGAAAATGTGGAGGTTAAGTATTAGCTGAAAAATAGAGGGAAACATTAGAGGGATGACATAGAGGGAAAGGGTTAAGCCTTGGTTTCCATGCTAAAACGTTTTAAGTTTTTCATGCAAAGCATATTAAGCATTTACAAGCTGGGTACAAGCAGCGATTAGATACCTATATGGAAAAGAAAATACCATTTGCTAAATTCTTCGTTATGGCCAAACTTTACAGAATAGTTTAGACTTCAATGTTCATTTTGAGACAGGGGCACTTTCAGTTTTCGTTTGACTTAAAACCAAATATTGAATGCAAAAAGTTTGGTTCGGATTATTTCGGTTCAATTTTGGTTTTTAAGTTTTTGCCAAAATATTTTTTTGGTTAAAAACATTTTTTTGGAAGAATTTGGTTAAAAACATAGTCATTGAAAAACAAAAAAAACTACATCAAATAGTACTTCTTCCATATTTTTTTGTTTGTTACACTTTCCTTTTCGGGGTGTGTTTAAAAGTTTGCTACACTTCTATTTTTGGTAAGTTTACCTTTTATAAAAATACTCAACTACCCTTACTTTTCCTACTTTTTATCTTCTCTTTCATACTTTTACACACCCTCTTCTACTTTTTCTGCACTATTCATTACCCCTACTACTTATTAAATAATGTGTCAAACCTAATGTAGTGAACAAAAAATACGGAGGGAGTAATTAATAGTAATATCATACAAAAAATATAATTAAAAAAGAGAGAAGAAACAAACGCACTTTCAAGCAATGAATTAGAGAGTGGGTATGTCTCTTTAAATAATTTTTATATACAAAATATATATAATGTAATCTCAAGTTAAACTTTTTCTGTAAAGGTTGTGTCCACGAATTCATTTTCATTTTTACCAAAGATTTTTTTATTGACGGTAAATAACTTAAAATAATTTATTAAGGTATATATGTTCTAAAGCTTCATGTTTTGTGCTTAGTTGTTTGAAAATAGATGAATAATACACATGCATTGTCTAAGATATAATTTAGATTAATACATATTTTTTAGTAATAAAAATTTGTGTGGTAACAAACAAAAGTAACTAATAATAATATAGCAAAAAATATCATTATCATTCAACCACAAGCAAAATGTAAATTACAATTTAAAATATCAACATTAGTATTATAGTAAGAGACTAAAGTGTATATAAAAGTGTTTCACTCAATTAATAAACCATAAATTTCAAATATCAATACCTTACAAATCATAATAAATCTAGTATCAAATATTAATTTTCAAGAATTGAGAGTTAAGAACTAAATAAAATATTATACGTAATGATTAATAAACACAATAGCTAGTGCTGGACTCGGGCCGGTTCGGGCCCGGTTCGGGCCTGGGCCCGGCCGGGCCTCGGGCCAGGAAAGGGGAGGCCCGAGCCCGAACCGCCGGTGGCCGGTTCCGGTTCCGGGCCAAACCGGGCTGGGCCGGGCCAGGCCAAACCGGTCCAATTAATTTTTTTTTTTGGTTCTCCTATTTAATCCCTACCCCTCCCCCTCAACCCCAAACCACCTCAAACCACCTCAAATGTCCCAAAATACCTATTCCAACCCAAGACTTAAAAAATTTTTCAAAAAAAAAAAAATAAATTCCGGCCCAGACTGGGCCCGAACCGGCCGGGCCGGTTCACCATATGGAAGGCCCGGAACCGGAAACCACCGGGCCGGTTCGACCCGAACCGCCGGTGGACCGGGCCACCGGGCCGGGCCGGTTGCTACAGTGGCCGGGCCGGGCCGGTTCCGGGTCGGGCCGCCCGGCCCGAGTCCAGGCCTAACAATAGCATATTCAAAATGCCCGGTTTGTTCAGTTCAGTTCGGCATCAACACGGATGGAAAGTATATCTTTGGCAAGCTTTTGAGCGGAAAAAGGGCTAAAAATTACATAGACTTTATAGCTTTCATTGACATGTACATCTCATATTGGTTGGGAATTTACAGAACTTCAAGTTCAAATTGAATTGTATACAATGCAAACCTTGGTAGTCGCACAGCTTTGGCCTGCAAAGTTTTTGAACATTTCATACGCTAGTCTCTCTTTGGTGACATATTTGTATGTGCGTTAATATTACACTAAACTTACGTGTATATAATGTACATTGTACATGCTTAATGAGGTTTTATGATTACTTTCACCTTTTCAATTTTGAAATCAAATCAATCAAAACATTTGTGCAAGTGTAGTTAAAAAAACTTGGTAGTTAGCCAAATGTGTGACATGCATTTTAAAAAGGGAAAAAGACATAATTAAGAGTAAAACATACCGATGGAAGGTAAATAGGACCCCCGACTTTTTAACTCACAGATAAGACTAATTCTTACATGAAGGGACAAAAATACCCTCCGTCCCCAACTCTATCGACGCTCTCTCTGCAAAACAAAAAAAAAAGCAACACTTCGGTAGCTCATCACAACGAACCCCAAATTTGGACCATCCAAACTCCGTCGTCGGACCTTAGCCGAACCCGGTCAAATCGATCTTCCCCGGCAGCCGGATCAACGATTAACCTCTCTCTTGGCAGCAGATGCTGAGACATCATCGCCTATTTCATCGGTCTTTATCTGCCGGGCCTTGTTTTTTCAGATCTGGAACCAACTTCACAGGAGATGACCTCCGGAAGACAGTCTAGGGGGTCTCTCGGCGAACTTGAGCGGAATCGCCACCGAGGAGAAAGAGCTGGATGTGGACACGGTGGTTTTGGCGAAGCACTTTTGACACATGTTGTTTGTGGAAGGATTGCCGGCGTGATGGTCTCTTTCACAACCATGAACTCCGTCTCCTCCGGCTCCTTATCCATCTTCTGTACCATTCTACGTCGTGCTGGTCTAATATTGGTGTTGCTTTGTTTGCTTATTGAAGTGCTGATAGTTTCAATCCCTCTCCAATTTCTTTTTTTATTTTATCCAATAGAACACCAGTAACTGCCCAAATTTCTTTTTCATTATTTCCTTCTTTGAATGTTGAATTCGTCAATTAGTTTACTAATTATTGAAAGTTTAAATTAAATATGTTTTGAATTTAAATAATGGCATACCAATGTCATAAAAAATTATAATCATATCAATGTTGCTAAAAATGTCCCAATACTAAAATTAATGTTAGAGATAAAATAAGTTTAATTGTAAAAAAGTAAATTACATTGTTACAATCTCACAATAACAATATCAATGTTATAAGATATTGTTAATGACATTATAATAATGATAATGTAAAATGTCGATGACTATCGTGACAATGGCAATGACAATGTCATTGTTATAATAATAATGTCAATGTTGAAGTTAATGACTGCAATGATAATGTCAATCACATAAAAATTAACAATGTCAATGTCATAACAATGAGATAATAATGTCAATATCAATGATAATATGGTGACAATGTCAATAATTATGGCACTATAAAAACTGTATATTTATAGAGAAATACATTATTAAACATGTATTATAATGTTATTGTATCACAATATCATTATATGACACCGAAATTGTTTAAATTGCGATAATGTCTTGACAATGCTATAAAAATGTCATTGTAATAATGTCATTGTAATATTAACAATGTCACTTGCAATGCTATAAAAAAATTATGACATTGTCAAGATGTGAAATTATTTTCGATGATGACATTGAGATATGTGACAATGTTATATAAAAAAATACAATATTTGAAACTGTCAATATTTATATTATAATGTTAGATAAATGACCATCATTCAAAACAATGACAACAACATAAAAATTACATTATTTTTTTTAGAAAAACACATTTTGAAAATGTACTATAATGTCATTGTAGGAAAAATCAATATCATTGTGTGAAATAAAACAAAATAGAAAGCCAGAAAATAAAAGAGAATGTGACAATGTTAAAATAATTTATTAACATTGCCATTAATAATAGTATGACATTGTCAAAGGATCACCTTGGTGGTACAAATTTAAGCTAATTAACATAAAGGGTAATTGTTAAAATTAATTAAAGAAGTATTAATACAAAAGTAATTAAAATTAAAGTTAAACAAAATAATTGAAACATTAAGGAATAATTTAAAAGAGCAAACATCAAAAGTAAAAGAGAAGTAAACTGCAGGGGAAAAAATCAAGCAGAAAACGGAAAAAGGATAAAGAAAAAGGGTCGACAATTCTCAGTGTAGATAAAACCGCATGTTTTAAGTGAATAGAAAAATCTATCCGTCACGGATCTCTTTGGCGCCCATTCCAGTCTTAAGCCGAAGAACTCCAGCAATTCGCCTATAACCTGCCATCTGAAGCTGCCTGGGGAGATACTCAGGGGCGGATCCAGAAATTTTAGTTATTGGGGGCACTTATTAGAAAAAATGTGGTAAAACATTCGGATAGCAAATTAAACACTTCCTCCGTTACGTTTTAGTTGCAATGTATCCATTTTCAAGTTTGCCAACACACAATTTTGACAATTAATATAATTCATTTGTATTAATTAAAAATTGATAGTGAAATATATGGGCGACTATTTATTGTAGTGTATAATCACTTTTAAATTTGTGACATTCATTCATTAATTGAAGTTGGTTTCAAATTTGAAATTTATAGATATTCCATCAAAATGGATTCATTACCAAAGATAGGAAAAACATAACTACTCCATATATTACCAAATCATAACTACTCCGTATATTACCATGTACCATCTTAAAGAAATGAAGACTACATCAACCGCATTAATACCGCATTATTTATATTACCACCTGAGAAAGTTTTCATCTGAGGAACCAAGCACTTCAATCCAGCTGCATTAATCTACTTAGTAGACCTTGGTGGTCTTATGGAAACCGCAGAAGTGCAGTCTTTTGCCCAATGACCAGCTCCACCGCACTTAAAGCATGAAGTCAAGGTGGTCGATTTCCCAGCTCCATCAGCACCAGGAGATGACAGTGGAACAGAGTTCACACATTCTTTTGCCCAATGTCCTTCCTTCCCACATTTGAAACAAGCCACTGAATTATTATAACTTTTGTTGCCCATACTACCCATACTCAGGTTCACCTGAGGTGCTCTCTGTGGCTCTGGTATGTTTGTCATTTCATTACACCATTTGAAAAACCCACAGCTTTCCTACAAAAATGCCAAATCATCAGTTGAAAGTTAATCAAACAAAGAGGATAAGGTTGTGTTGTCTTTGATCCTTGTGCTAGTACAATATTGGAAGTGTATAGCTATGTCATACAAAAATATAATCCTTAACCAACATACGAAATCCTAGGGCTTGGGCAGGCCAATAGGAAATCCTGGAAGCTGAAGAATCAAAAGCAAATAAAATTGCACACCACTTCTTGGATTTTCATTGATTGTGACTTTTGTTGTTATTTCATTTTCCAACTTGAAGAGTTGAAGCAGAATTTTTTTTTAAAATTATTATTTTGAAATATTATTACAGTGCACCAACATAGAGTGGTTGTAGAGTATATGTATTAATCCCTAAAATCCAGGAGATTCAACAAAAGGCCAAAAAGAATGTTACATTGTTACTTGTCAAAGACAATTTATAGTGTGGCACTTGACCACTTTGATGTTTCTCATGCATCCCATTTTATTATTGTATTCACATACGGAGTATATTGATAGGTCAAAGTGTCAAACCATTATGTTCATAGCGATTTTACAATATCAATGTTGTTGTAAGGGGACTAAGGCTTGGGTGTTGTTGTTGTAATGTTGTTGTAACTTGTAAGGGGGCATGATCACAGGGAACTCTCACTTATCATCGTTTCATGATACATTTTCACTCGAAACAGAAAAAACATATGATGATGGCTTGATGGGTTTGGGATTTCATCTCATCCGTAAGAAGAAATGAAATATATCTAGCATAATTCTGTCAACGAGTTTCAATGATGGTGATTATCCTTTGTAACTGATAAAGATGATGATAAATAAAACAAGTTTACAAACTACATTTTAATCTAAACCATCGGTCATTATTTGGTAAATACATCCATTGACTACCTACATTTAACAACTAATCTAATGCTTGTAGCCTTGTACAGTGGTACCTTGCACCTTTGGATCGGTTTTGGAATTGATGTATCTTCTAGTAAACTAATACAATTCAGCACAAGAGGTTTCACCTAAATAGACTATAAGAGATTCTCAAATAGAAACTTGTTGTCTACTTAGTTGATGTTTTGAGGTCTTAGTTTCTTTTTCGAGGTGGAGAGAGTATTAACTTCTTTTCAGGCTCTTTAGAGCTGTACCCATTATATCCAGTTTTCCTTTCAAGTATCAAATTTTGCAGCACTTATCTGTTTTTATCTCATTTCCAGAAACCACCACTCATTGTCATCACCATCGGAAACCACCACTTCCAGATCATGGTAGCGTTTATGTTCGCTTGTGTTAATAAGAAGTATTTTTTAATTTTGAAAAAAAAACTTACCTGTAAAAGGTGTCCTTTTTCAAAATAAAAGTGATATTAATAAAGTAAAAGTTGGAGTGTTTCATGAAAAATTGTTTTTGGTGCATTATTTAAGCAAAAAAGTGAAACATTTTTTAAAAATGCTTAAAGTTAAGGAGGACTTATTTGGAGACCCTGCGTTTACCTTTTTAAACACAAAAGTCCTTTTTAAAGCAATGGCAAGCACTCAAAATATATGTTTTCAAATAGAAAAACAACAAAATGTGACTAATAAAATTCTAAGGGGAATGGTGGTATGCAGCAGAAGTGAGTACAAGGAAACACCGCAACCCCTTCATCAAGGCCTTTTCCCTTTGCACCCAAAACAGTCTGATAAGTTGAGACTTGAGACTTGCAAGTGATATTCCCAATAATACACACACTAATATGTATGGGTAAAATGCAAACTTGCAAAATACCATGTTATGCTTCAGAGCTCTTGAGCATTTAAAAAAAATGAAGCCTATGCATGTTAAGTATGCAGCAGATGACATGAATAGATAATGTATTCAAACCATGATTGTTTTTTGTACCTGACTAGGACAACGGTAGAATTGCTGGCCGATGTTTTTCCCTGTCTTTGCTGTGAGAACAAGGCAAGGACCAGCACCACATGGACAAGACAGTTCGAGGATTGAAAAGTTTGTGGAAGGCTTGCTTTGGATGGCTATGTGATGCGTAAATGAAGGCTTGTCACACCACTCAAAGAAGTCACAACCTCCATTATCCTAAGCAAGGTTTTATCTTCAAATCAGAAATGGGAACTATAGATACAATCAGGAAAACAAATTCATGCAGTAATATGCATAAAAGAATGGACATAGAAAGGGGGCCAACCCAGGTCCGGGACTCACCCTAAGTTCAGGAAAAACCTTTTTACATGTGTAGACTTTCTAGTATAAAATTATATACATTTTAAGGTCCTGGCTAGATGAGACCACTAACAACTGTTAAGTGGCTACACCTGCCGTTAAGTGGTGTTATAATGGGATATCAACTTACTAAGAAAACATCACATGTCAGAAACAAAAGTAAATTACATAATATCCTATGCGTATAATATAATACTGCATATAAACATTGAGAGCTTGTCTAGAAAACGCTACAAGAACAACTCGTGTAGAAAGAAAACGAATAACTACTGCCTTAAGGCTTCAACTCTTGATGTAAATAACACGCATGAGAAAAAAGAAATGGGATGGTGGGAGGGATATGACAAACTGCACTGATGCAAGGTAAAAACATTTATCATTAACAGCCACGTTATGATGGAACCTACAAATTTCAATAGAGGTGCTCGTATGATCAAATATATTTCTATACAGTGCTAGCCAGTGCTAAGATTCATCTAGCATTCCAGAGAGAATAAAACAAATATCAGAAAGTAAACCTACAGACGATTGCAACATTCGTAATCCCAAAGCTAGAAGCTTTTAAAATAAGGAAGCCATAAACTACATTAAGGTGCCTTGGTGGAATTGGTGCACTCGCAAATCATGATGGGCACGCGAGGAAAAGTGCAAAAACAGGCACAGACATGTACATCACGCGAACACTAAAACTGACCTGTCTGATAGGACATTTGTAGAACTTCCGACCACGATTCTTATCAGTGTTGGCCGTGAGGATGATGCAATTTCCAGAGCCGCACGGGCACTGCTTTTCAGGGAAACTCGCAGAATCATTCCCATCATTCAATGGACCAGCACTGCAATCGCGTGCCCAGTGGCCAGATTTGCCACACTTGAAGCACGTATTACCGGAATCAGACGAAGGAAATGAAGAGTTGCTGTGATTACCGAGTTTATAGCTTTGGCGCGATACAGAAGAAGAGGAAAATGTTGCCGCTTGTTGCTGAAATTCGATGCTTTTGCTGCCTTTGAGAGCTGCGATGTACGCTCCTTCTCCGATAGTTGTGGTAGTGTCGTTGCAGTTCTGTGACGTGGCGGGCCTGATATTCACGGTTGAGGTGAAATTGGAGGTAGAGGTCCGGCGACGCTTGGTGGATGAAGACAGCGCAGCGGCCTCAGCGGCGGCTACTTGAGAGAGGAACTCCTCGTCCTCGAAGTCGATCATCTCCCCTTCCTGCAAGCAATTTGGGGGCACTCTGAAATCCTACTCATTTTGTTTCCCGCTGCGTTTATCCAGTTTATTGTTGCCACGACTCCCTCTATTTTTTGAAGGTAAAATGTCAAAATTGTTTGGTCAAAATTTGGTGGTGGTAGAGCATCTACCATGTATAAACGGTGCATAGCCAATTAAAAAAGAACATCTCTCCGTATTTGAATGATCTTATATATTTTTGGTAAGTTTTTCTCCACAATGTCTAAATATAGACATTGTTGTTGACATTGTTGAGAAAAGATTACCAAAAACACATAAGACTTTGGAAAGAAAGAGAAGTAAATGTCATAAATTTAATTTTTTTTTGTGTATCTCTCTCATGCCACATATGCACCATGCACATTCTAGCATTGGAGATCTTATCAGTCAACTTTTTAATTAAACACATAACTTTTGATCGTGTAAAAATAAGAAGTTGAGGTCATAGTTACTTTTGTAGCTATATTGTCTGAAGTTATTGTTGACGAGTATTTTAACTATTTTTTAATACTACGTATAATTTATTTTATTAATAAAATACATAATATTATGTATATTTTAAATATAATTTTTTCATAAATCAGTCAATACAACCACTTCAGCAAAAACTTCATAAATTTCAGCACAATCAACCAATGCAACCGATTTCAGTGTTACCAAACGATTTCCAGAAGATCATTCGCCAATGAAGTTTGGGGGAATAAAAAAAATCAACCTCGCTGCTGGACATAGAAACGATCACTCTAGCAATTGTGTGAGCCACTGGATTCGACGGCCGCCTACAACACAGGACTTTAGAATTATGAATTTCATTAATTAAATGTTTGATATCCTAAAAAATGACTCCAATCTTTGCATCACAAGCATCCATTGTATACCTGACAAGACTGGTGTTGCACCTGTTTCAATCACCATTTTGTTCCATCCAACTTCTTTCGCAAGGAGTATAGCTTCCCTAACTCCAATCAACTCCCTCTCTTATTAACAACCAAATTACTCTAAAATTTTTAATAAAAAGAAGAAAACTTTCAAATATGTCATGTACTTTTGTCAAAAAAAGTTAATTAAGTTTTCATACTTTTAAGCGACTCAATTAAGTCATCAAATGAGACTTTTGGGGAATCAAATGACTAATTTATTCATTAAATGATACTACCTCCGTCCCATTTATACTGTCTCTTTACGATTTACGATGTTTGACCGACGATAAAGCAAACAGATCTCTGTCCGCACTCAAATTATTTTTAGGAAAAAAATTACATATTCAAAAACTACATTTAAAGTTTTACAAAGTCGCAAAAAACTGAATCAAATTTGATAAATTTTTTATATATAAAGTAAGAAATTAAGAGTGATTTGTGTTAACCAAGTAAATAGGAACTAGGACAATATACTTGGGACGGAGGAGTAGTAAAGATGCCAAATGATAAATAACATGAAGCTACAATGAGATGAGATATATAACATAAAAGATTCAATGAATCCTTCCATATTGCTAACCCCGCTATAATGTAGTTTAGTCTAACAGTATTGTCATCCTTCTTGATACTTCAATGAGAAAATAAAGAATTAGAACTAAAAGATTTGACTTCACCAGCCACCGGAAAAGGAAGAATTGATTTGACCAACAAACCAACAAAGGAAACTCAATTGAGGAGAAAGTGTCTTAATCATCGGTTTGACCAAACACCGAAAAGGAGATTTAGTTGAACAATATCTTTTTCCCAGAGTGATGCAATGGTTGGGAGGGCTAGTAGTTGAAGCTTCAGAAGAACTAGGTTGCACATGTCATGTCAACTACGATTAATGAACCACTTGATCGGTTACAGACACGACCTCTAGACATTGCTAGGAGAAGAACAAAAACCACGCTCACCTGAAGCGAATATAACTCTCAGCCATAGAAGAAGTCGGAGCAAAACCAAAACCCTAGAAGGTAGAAATAAAAGATAAGAAAACATTTGATTTGTTACTGCTCAGACAACGTCGCCATCATCGAAGATCGATGCCAATCGGAGAAGAGAAAGCCAGGAGATTAGATTGGTCCAACAATCTAGCCCTTAAAACTTTTGCATAACTGTGATAGAGTCTTCTGGCCAAGCTCCTAGATGATGAGGCGTTGTGGTTTTCGACCGACATTAATTTATGTATAATGAACCGGCCAAAAAAAGTCCTCAAAGCGTTAAAAACAGTCAAATTAGATATTGCGTAGGTAACATTCGATTTTTGGGTTGATGGCGTGGATTCAGATGACATTTTCTTTTAATTTTTTTTTTCTTTTCCTCCCTTTATTTCCTTTTCTCTTTCTTCCTTTCTTTTATCCTTTCTCTCTTATTTTAGTCCCCCTCCCACATTTCACTCCACAGTCAACCAACCACCACCTTCCCCAATTCTCCATTTCTGCTACCCCTCCATATCCACCACCTTTATGCCTTCACCTCGGCTACCTCTGCCACCTCTACTGAGTGACCTCTGTTGGTCGACCTCCATAGCCACTATCTTCGTGCCCTCCACCTCCACCTCCACCGTCCCTATTTCCTTAATCACCGCCTCTGCGGCCTATATATCTGCCTCCATCATGGCAACGAGTGATTCAGATTCCATTCTTAATGGAAGAAATCTGAATAATAAATTTGTTAATAGATATACCATGGAAAATTCTTATTAAATGAACTATATTAAATTTGTTAACACTAATGGCAGAAATTCGAGAATACCTTTTGTGTGTTATCTATTTTGGATTTTTTTAATAGAGTAGTTAACTAACTACATCGTGTCATTTTCGTACTTTACATTCCATCAGATCATTTATCTATCAAACAATCACGTCAAATTATCAAATACGAGTAAAGGAGTGTTTGGGGTTGCTTAAAAAAAGCGATTTTCAGCTTTTAACTTAAAAGTTGAAAAGAGTGTTTTCAAATGACAGCTTCTGCTTAAATTAATCACATAAAAGCTAAAAGCTGGAAGCAGGTAGAAGGGTGCTTTAAACTGCTTCTCACTTTTTCTATTACACAAAAAGTACTTATTTTACCAAACACTACCAACTTTTACTTTCCAGAATCACTTTTTTCTCAAACACTACCAACTTTTACTATTAATCACTTTTCCCAAAATCACTTTAAAAAATCACTTTTTTAAGTGATTGTGTTTGGAATTACGCCTTTATTTAATGGATTGTGATCAGATTTGTGAGTTAAAAGACCATTATTAGTGGGAAAGTGACTCTGTCGTTTTTATTATGTATTTTTTGTTTAGTAATTTTTAAAGCTCGTATTATTATTAGTTTACGGTTGATAGTTGCCATTTAATGTCATTATATATCTTTAAATTGTAAGTATACTTTGAGAAACGATGAGTAGAAATAAAGTAATGTAAGATTTATTTAGTCATTTTTATTATATGAAGATATAAATATACATATGAACTATATGCGAGAGAATACATATACTTTTTCAACTTTCATTTGGAACAATTAAACATAAAAATGGCAATGTTCCAACACCTTTAGGTCCGAATGATTTTTATGGGAAACTTCAATTCGTTAATAAATAAGATTGTTAGCCAATTAGAGCATCTCCAATGCAAGGGTGTGGTCTCTTACACACCCTTACACATGAGTCCCATTTTTTATCTCACAAATTTTATGTGTAGGACCCACATATTTCCCAATTTATTTTCATTTTCATTTTTTTATATCACTTTTAACCCACTTTTCATCAACTTTTCCTCCTCGAATCTCGTGTAAGGTCCATATATGGACCTTGTCATAGACCTTGGTCCATTTTTACCTCTATCTCTCTCCTCTTTTTCATTTTTCCCTACACACCACTTCATCCCAATATTTATTCTATCTCTATCTCTCTCCTATGCCACATCAGATGCAATGCACCCTCCCATTGGAGATGCTCTTAGGTGACAACACAATGAGGAGAAATAATACAATCATGACTAGCTTTGGACTCTGAATCAGTTGCTTTAGCTAACACATGTGTAGCCTGATCCGCAAAACGCTTACAATAGCTAACTGTAAAATATGCTGAATTAACCCATACTACCTCCGTCCCAGGGAGAAGTTCCCAATTTCCCTTTTTGGCAGTCCCAACAAGAAGTTCTCATTTCCCTAAATGGAAAGTTATTCTACATCAAAACAGTGCCAAACAGTGCTAAACAGTGCAAAACAGTGTCGAAACAGTGCCAAACAGTAAAATTTACCCCCCAGTAACTTTATTTCCTTAATATGTGTGAAAGTCAACCCGGGTACTTCTCCCTGGGACGAAGGGAGTAATAAAACTTTCGCTCTTCGCTCTGATGTCCAAATGTTGAAAACTTGAAATATATATTTGTTAATTTGTGTGCATGTTTTGTGATATATTGTTAGAATTATTTCCACTTTTGGTCTTATGAGTTTTATGTCATTTCCACATTTAGTTCACGTCTTTTAGTTTGAACACTTTTGATACTTGACTAATGTTTCTTGGCCATTTATTGTCCTTCTCCGGCGATTTTAACCACCGGAATTGTTGTCGGAAGGGCATGTACCAAAAGTGATGAATGTCAAAGACGTTGACCAAATGTGGAAATGACATAAAACCCACATGACCAAAAGTGGAATTAATTCTATGTTATATATGCTCTTTTATATATTGTCTCTGTCCCATGAAATTCTTCCGGTTTAACTTAGATCAGAGTTTAAGAAACTAATAATAAAGCGAAAATGTAAGGTTGTGATTGAGTAATAAAAATGTAAATGAATGTTTGCCATACAAACTCTCCAAAAGAGGAAATGAGAAAAAAAGGGACACCCGAAAAAAGTAAGTGGAGAAAGATCTAATGGGATGGAGGGAGCATTATATTTTCTCCCAAAGGTATGTGGATAGTATATTCTAAGTTATAAAAAATTGTGTATATTTGTTTCAAAATGGAGTTGAAAAGTAAATTAATTGCTATTGAGCCAAAAGTTATAAATTCACTTTCTAGGAGAGAGCTTCTCTCTCTAGTCGTCCGTCTTTGCTAGGGTTAGGAGTTGTTTTTCTCCGCTTTCGTCTTCGACGAAGTGCGACTTTCTTGTGTGCCTTTCGTCCGCCTTTCATGAGTCTCTCTTTTTCGGCAGACCGCAGCGTATATATGACGGCCAAAAGTTGTGTACCCCTAGTAACAGGCGGAGAGTTTCGAGGATGCCGTTCATGGTTGAGATCAGAAGGTCATGGACGAAGCGTGGGACTAGGGACTGGAACATATCTGAACCAGAGGCAAGGAACGGAAGATGCTACAATACTGTTGGACTGTCCCCCGCCTGAACTGCCGTCATGAAGTGCATGAGAGTTTAGGGTTTGGAAGCAATTTGTTAATTTTACTATTTGCTTACTATTTATTTTTCATGATCAAATTGTTTATTTTTCCGTTGGTTACTTTTATTGTTGTAAGACTCTTGCATTAGGATTAGGTGATGAGAGGTCTGCTTTAATCGTCGTTGGCTCATTTATGTCCATTATAGGATCAACAAGTTATATTGCTTTTTTTGAGGTGCTTGACTCTAAGTCTGATTCGAGAGTTGACGGTTGTGTGTGGTCATTTTGTCTTTTTACCCCATATCTAAATGATGTGATTTGAATTTAACTCATCTGTTTTGACGATTAAAAAAATGAAGTTAAAAAGTAAATTTATTTTCTCACACACCCTTTTTGTATTTAATTAGTTTTCGAAATAGACTTGATGGCTCATCTGAGTAACATAATTCTTTTTTTTTCTGATGAGAATTTTTGTTTGATCTTTCTCATGAAAATTGAGAATTGAGAAATGCGTAGACATTTGAATTTGGGAAGGATTTGCGTATGATTTATACACGAAGTTGTAGAAGGGCGGAATCGTAACATAAGAAAAAGGGTGGGGAAATAAACAAAAAGGACAGAAGAGAAGGGGTAGAATGGTAAGTCACGAAAAGGGCCCATAGAATTTTGACGTAAATACCATCCTCCTCAGCGCAGAGAGGCGTCAGGAATTCCCAACTCAACCCTCGGAAAACCTTCTTCTGCCCTTCCTCCAATTTCCCCTTCTCGCCTCCCTTCTCTTGCCCTTTTCTTTTCCGATTTGCCCCTTTTCTCCACCACCTCGAAACCAATTTACCCGCCCTTTTCAAATTCTGCTCTTTCTTCCTTCTTCCGATCCCTTTCTCATATATGAATTCTGGGTCGGTTTTGGATTTCACCTTTTTGTTCCTTTTTGGCAATCGGAGTTGGATATTTGTTCATCTTTTTAGCATCTTCTGCTAGTTAAACGGTAGAATTTCGAAGTTCTAGCTGGATCGAGCTATCTTCAGGAGTCGATCTTGGTTTCAAAAGCTAGGGTTTTTCTCTCCATATGCAGGTATTCTTGTGTGGTGGATCGTGTTGGTTCCATGTTATTTATTTCCCTGCCCCTCTTTACGGCTTGAAATTCACTGAGGTTTATTGGTTTGGTGTCTTTCTGTTCTTGTCTAGCTGGAATTTGTGATTGACGGTTTGGTTGCTTTCCCAAGCAGATATGGTTGAGCTATCTTTACTTGCATAAAGTGTAGACTGAAAAACAAACATTCAAAAGCAAGACAGAGGCTGTGTTATGTTTCTTCTGGATTGCTCTGTAGTTATGATGTTTATGTAGTTGTTCATATAATCATATAGTTTGTTTTACATTTTTAAGTCAGGCTTAATTATACCCATAGAGACAAGAATACTTACTATTATGTCACACATAGTTTGTGTTTAAAAGTCAGTAGTTAGGAAAAAGGTTTGTTCTTTATCATGCTGTGCTTTCATGTTACACATACATGGTTACATTCAGCTGTTTTTAGGTATTTGTGGAATGTGAGTACATGATATTGCAATTAAATTTTGCAGTAGTAGAAGTGTAGAACAGCAAACAGTGAGCAGATGCTTGGGCAAAACCACAATTTGGGTCTTGAGCAGAACCATCAGATGTCAGTGGGAGGACTTGGTCATAGTCTAGGTATGAGTCAGAACCATGGTTTGGAGTTGGGGCAGGCTCATGAGCATGAGCTTAGATCAGAGCATGACCCTGGGAGTGAAAGTTTAGAACAGAGCCATGAGGGGCATGACGAACATGCTTATGATGATGAGCATGATAAACATGGTTATGATGAGGATCATGATAAACATGCTTATGATGAGGATCATGATAAACATGCTTATGATGAGGATCATGATAAACATGCTTATGATGAGGATGAGACAGGTGGGCTTACAATGGAGCAGAAACCGGGGTCTAAAGGACATGAACTGGCTCTTGCTGGCGAGAACAATGGGTTAGATATATCTGAACACAATGAGCTGGCTATTGCAGATCACCAAGAGCATGATGAAAATATGGATCTAGCGGTCGTTGAGAACCATGATATGGGAATTGAATCTGCAGATGACATGATTCAGAATGGCCAGATGATACTTTCTTCCAATCATGTCCTCCAGGCTCGTATGGTGCCTGCCACGCCTGATTTCGAGCTTCATGTAGGGCAAGAGTTTCCTGATGTTAAGAGCTGCCGTAGGGCCTTGCGTGATACAGCTATTGCTCTTCACTTCGAAATGCAGACCATAAAATCTGACAAAACTCGTTTCACAGCTAAATGTGCTACTGAAGGTTGCCCTTGGCGTATTCATGCTGCAAAACTTCCTGGTGTGCCCACCTTCACAATCAGAACCATCAATGATAACCATACATGCGGAGGAATATTCCATCTTGGCCATCAGCAAGCTTCTGTTCAGTGGGTTGCTAGCTCTGTCGAACAACGCCTTCGGGAGAACCCTAACTACAAGCCAAAGGAGATCCTCGAAGAAATTCACCGTGTCCATGGTATCACTCTATCGTACAAGCAAGCTTGGCGCGGAAAAGAACGGATTATGGCTGCAATGCGTGGCTCCTTTGAAGAAGGATATCGCCTTCTTCCACAATACTGTGAACAGGTGAAACGTACAAATCCTGGAAGCATTGCCTCAGTCTACGGAAATCCTGCTGACGGTAGCTTTCAGAGACTGTTTATATCTTTTCAGGCATCAATCTATGGTTTTCTGAATGCCTGTCGCCCTGTCCTCGGCCTTGACCGGACATTCTTAAAGAGTAAATACCTTGGCACTCTGCTATTGGCTACTGGTTTTGATGGGGATGGAGGACTGTTCCCTTTAGGCTTTGGTGTTGTTGATGAAGAAAATGATGATAATTGGATGTGGTTCCTTTCTGAACTTCATGCTCTGCTTGAGATCAACACAGAAAACATGCCAAGGCTCACGATTCTCTCAGATAGGCAGAAGAGCATTGTAGATGGTGTGGAGGCTAACTTCCCTACTGCATTCCATGGTTTCTGCATGCGTCACTTGAGTGAAAGCTTCCGTAAAGAGTTTAACAATACAATGCTTGTTAATTTACTATGGGAAGCAGCTCATGCACTCACAGTGATTGATTTTGAGGCAAAAGTTCTGGAGATTGAAGAGATATCTCAAGATGCTGCATATTGGATCCGGCGTATCCCACCACGTCTATGGGCGACAGCTTATTTCGAGGGAACAAGATTTGGGCATCTGACTGCTAACATAGTGGAGCAGCTTAATACCTGGATACTTGAGGCGTCTGGGCTTCCAATAATCCAGATGATGGAATGCATAAGAAGACAACTTATGACCTGGTTTAATGAGCGCCGTGAAATTAGTATGCAGTGGACATCTATTCTAGTGCCTACAGCAGAGAGGCGTGTTGCTGAAGCTCTGGAACGTGCCCGGACCTACCAGGTTCTGCGAGCCAATGAAGCAGAGTTTGAAGTTATATCTCATGAAGGAACCAATATTGTTGATATTCGGAACCGCTGCTGCCTTTGTAGGGGATGGCAGCTTTATGGCTTACCCTGTGCACATGCTGTTGCAGCTCTGCTTTCTTGCCGGCAGAATGTACATCGGTTTACAGAGAGCTGCTTCACGGTAGCAACATATCGCAAGACGTATTCTCAAACCATACATCCCATTCCAGACAAGTCATTATGGAGGGAGACTTCGATGCTAATAACTGAAGAGGATGTTGATGCTGTTAAAGTCAATGAGGTTGTAATTAATCCTCCCAAGTCACTTCGTCCTCCTGGCCGTCCTAGGAAAAAAAGAGTTAGAGCAGAAGACCGTGGTCGTATGAAGCGAATTGTGCATTGCAGCCGCTGCAATCAGACTGGCCACTTTAGAACAACATGTGCAGCACCAATTTGACTCCTAATTATGGTGTGCAGCATTTACTGTGAAATCAACTGGGAAAATCCTTTCCATATGCGAAGACTTCTCTTGTATATCTCGGTTAATTTTTACTGGTTAGGTTTGCTGTTATTACCGCATTTGCTGTTTTTAAACTAGGAGAGCAAACTTGTTCATCAGTCAAAGAAGGTCTACATTTAAACGTAATAATAGAATGTAAAAAAATATACAGTGACAATTTATGGCTTATCACTCCTTTCAAAGTTTCTTTCCAGTTTATACAAAATAGAGCGATTTTTGAAAATTCTCAATGTTCTATCTTTATTTTCTAATTTTATGTTTATCTTTAGTTTTTTGTTTTCTATTTCTATTTTATGGGTTTCATTCTGAATTTTTATGTTTTGTATTTTGGGAAAAAATGTTTTCACAAACACATTATAAATTGTGATATGAACCATATGCAGATGTGGTAGCTGATAGTGGTAACAATTTTGGCAGTAGTGGTGAATGATTCCACTTGTGTAATATAATAGGGGGTACATTGGTAGACTTTGGTACACCAATAAAACTACCGTAATTTAGAAATGACATATCTGATTTGCACAATAACTTAAGATAAATATTTGATGTCTTTATTGCAAAAACAAATGTCCCTTTTATTTGATGTCTTCTCCAGCCCATTTAAGAATGTAGGTCGTAGAATCCAGGCACATTTAAGAATGTGGGTTCACTAATCATGTTCTTGTCCGTTTATTTTTAGTACGAACATATGTCAATAACCATCAAATCGGGACACGCAAACAAAAATACACGTAATATCTAATTTAACTAGACAAAAGGACTATATAAATATGCGTGGAGAAGCTTAAAACATACGGAGTATACAAATGAAACACACTACGTATACATAAGAACAATTTTATTTTCGAATGCTATTTAGAAATGAAAACATCAATTTTGTAATGATGATAAATTAGAATATGTTATGAAATTGAAGGAAATAAGAAGAAGATTAGAGCCTTACAGGTGTGATAATTACCATGAGAATGACTCTCATTTATAGGAGAAAGTGTGAGCTTAATGAGATTAGGAGATCATTATGAGCCACACAATTATCACCTTGAAATCATAACTATGATTTTCTAATTATTTACATAGTGGTGATAATAATTCCTAATCATGAATAGTTAAAACTTAGAAGATGACTAATTCAATTATATTTCAACAAAATACACGATTTGACGCCTTGACGGGAACAAAAAAGTTTGCATTAAAAATCATTATCTATTTAAATGGTTACTTGAAACAATAACAGTTACAATCTGAATAAAAATTACTCTTTGATTAATGAGATAGTTACATGAAGTTATTATATCACGTTACTTAATTTGATTGGGGTTTCAAATGTTATCATTGAGGGAGACAACAAAACATAATCAGGATACTCATTTGATTTGCCTATCTAATAATTAGGGTAAAATGCATGAATACCTAAGACTAAAGTTAGAGGAAATTACTCAAACTAACACTAAAACACATGAACAACATTACTGCAATTCTGCAAGGATGGATAATGAAAATCCACTAGGCAGATAGACATTTCAAAGATCAAAATAAGCTAAGAACAGACAACAGTGGAAGGTTACATTATAGGAAAAACAACAAATGAACAAGCTGGAACGGATATGAGCAGAGATGAATAATTGGCAACCAACAAAGGAACTGTAAAACATAGGTGGGAATAAAGCAGTCAGATCTAAAATCTTATGGAAAAATGTTTCGAGGAATAATCCAGTTATATCAAATTGTCATAGAAAGCTAAAAGATCTCTAACAAATAAATGCAGTGTGAGCCAGGAAACAATATAGAAAATGTGCAGACACTCACACTATGCATAGAAATTGCAGACAATAACCCTTCCGGGGTTAAACTAATCTGAACCCAATTCTTTGAGGTTCACGAGTATGAATCCCGGAAGGTCACTAATTGCTTTCCGGGTCATTAACTCCAGGGCCTGCGAGATGATTCGGGCCTAAGGTCCTGGACACCCACATTATCAAAAAAGAGAAACAATTGCATGCCTGAAAAAACACAATTAAAAAGGAAGCAAAAGATGATAAAGAGACAACCCTTCATTGATTTGAGGAATCTCAACTCACAGCTAATAGTAATTCAAGCAAGCACGAAAAATGCAAGTTATGAACTGAGGGCTACAAAAATCAAGGAAGAAGAATTTTAACTAGTTGGTTCAACATGTGTATTAAAGATGAAGAGGAAATGAAGAGGAACTTTGAATATCCAACTCTCATCTGGAAGAGGGACTTTGAATATCCAACTGTCTACGAAACGAAGAAGTTCATGATAAAAGGTCTAACAATGGAAGAAGCATTCACTAAGAGATCTACCCATAAGAAGCTATCGTTCAAGTTCAACCGCTTACACAACCATTGATGAACTAATTAGTTAAAGATGGCATATCTCCTGACCAACCAACCCTATCAGCTGGTGGATTACTTGCAGATAAAGCACAATTAGCTAATGGAGTGTCTATTGAAAAGTTATCAGCACACATTAGTACATGACACAAACACACTCTTAATAAGAACATTCCCTTAAAACTTTAAGTGAGAAGTGTATAAAACAAACACTTGAGAGAAATTGTATTTAATCAAAGTTTAAGAAATAATTCAATAAAGTAAGTCATGGAGTTCCTTGAGGCCTACATGACCTGTCAAGTGGTATAAGGCTATGCACTTATTAAATCAGATAATTAGTTGGTAAGCGGATTCTTATTTAAACAAATATGTTTCATGATTCTCATATTTGTCAATATATCTTAAGGATTTGTGATTGAAGAGACACTGCCCGGCACGGAAGGAACAATGATGTCAATTTTTCATGATCAGTAAAAGTGAGTCCTCACTAGACAATTTAAGGCAAACAAGATTCATGAGACACAGCCAACAGACATATTTAATCAAATGAAAAGCCACAAGACATGGAATATTTGCACGCTTTGCGAATTAACAGGATGGACTGGTCAAATCTTAGCTAATCAGAAATTTTAGAACAGAAGATTCTTGTTACCAAAAATAAGGTAACTTTAATGGCTATTATTGTTATATACTGTTCGGTATATAATTGATGATGTACAAAGGAAAGAAAAGAATCATTTGTGACTATCACTACTTTACTATAACAATGCTTCAAGAACAAGAAGAGCACACAATGCTGACCCTAAGTATACAACCTTAAGAGCTCTGACATCTTATCACCTGAATTGAACATAAGCAGGCAGCAAAGTGGAAAAATCGACTGTGTAACATAAAGAATGGCAAAACTTTACAAAATGTGGGGAAAAATAAACATCATCTTTGAGGAGAATCGGAAACTGGGTTCATTTCTATTTCTGCCTCTTGAGACCGTGTCCTGTTTCCTAACTTCTCCTCCTCTCTTGCAATCTGAATATCACTAGGCATGAAGTACTGAACAAAACCTTTTACAATGAATCGTGGAATCAAAGCAGCTACAATGATACCGATCAAGCACAGCCAAAATGAAGCATCTCCCGCGATGTGGAAGATGGCCCTGCAAAATTGTGTTGCATTTACAATCAGGATCTGGTTATACATGATACAGTGAATCAGTGATATGGAAAATAAAAGGGTAAATGTGGAAAGACACTTCCCCATCTAAAAGTCTTAAACTATTCTGCAAAGATAACTCAATGCAAAATGCATACTATTGATGGACCATTTTTAGATGGATTTTTTATTGATTTATATTCAAAGCATACTTTCTTGCAGAACCAAAACAACAGAAGTATTTTAATGAAAAACTAAGGACATTGACAAATCTAGACCACATTATCTTTCTGACAAAATGTTTCTTCAATTGCACTCTAATTCTTTATTTACTCTATAACTACTTTATTTAACATGAGTTTTGTATTTTTGATGAAATATGGTGGAACATCTTTGTCCCGAAATCTTACTCCGTATTGTAGAATATTTTATTTGATCTTTTACATCTTTAAAAAAAAAAAAAAAAAAAAAAAAAAAAAAAAAAACATATATCTGCAGCTTACATAGCAGGAGTATGAATTATGAAAATATGATTGCACCCAAACATCCTATATCTTAGGTAAAATTTCTATTCCAGAACTTATTTTACTAATTTCACTTGAGAAGATATAATGTGAATAAATTATAAGCCTTATTAACTTTTTAAGGTGTAAATATGATGTGTTTTCTACCATTCCATTTAAATTTCAAATCCATGATATGAATAGGTAAAAGAAAAATTGCACAATGAGTATAGAAGTCTTACCAATAACCAGGAAGGAAAGGCAATGCGTCAATGATGATCACACAGATAGCAGTTGCTATAATAGATCCCCAAATGGCAGCATGGGTTATCCAAGTCCACCTAATTACATCCATGGCTAAATGTAAGTTGACCAAAATAACCACTGCGAGTGTCCAAAGATCTCCAATGCTTGAAGTATCAATATCACTTTTCCTGTGTGCAAGAATAGGCACGAAAAAGGCAACTGCGCTTTGCCATAAGGTGTCCGCCATCGTCACCCAAAATAATTTGCCATTATAACCTTCTTCTCTTTGTCCAGCTCCATAAAGTTGAGTGTACTTCAGAAGAGTCGTTCTGCTCAGATCCTTTTCAAGAATTCCAATAATTATAGTAGGCAGAGATGTGTAGATTATTGAATACAAAACGCTACTCCAGTCCGTGATGGCAGTCGTCAAAGTGAAAGCCGTGAAGAGTGCATACCTGCTCAGGACAATTAAGTACAATATAAGCTAAATATTAAAGAATGGAAAATTGGCAAGAATATTTCAATTCAAAGATGATCATTTCAACAAAGTGCATCAGTTCTAAGCTACAGTTCATAGTTTCTACATTCTAATTCCCACCCCCCCAACATGTAAACATAAACATAAGTCATGAACTTCTTTTGTTTTTTCCCGATTCCCCTAAAATGTAAAAATAACAAAAGGAGGACATATTATCTCTTCTTTTATTTTATTTTTCAGAAATTACCGAAAGTCATGAACTTACCAGAACAGGACGAGAACAAACAAAGCGTTCCGGTAAAAGTTGTATAATATCATGTAGCCCAACCGCTGGTAATTCCAATGTCCATGAACCAATAAAAGTGGAACCAAAAATCTGAATTGACCCATCGCAAAATCTGATGCCATGACAGCTTGACGGCCTTCTTGGCCACTGATACCTATCCCCACATCAGCAGTTTGGATCATCGAAACATCATTAGCCCCTGAAA